TCCGAAATTCACTGCCAGTGCTGAAATTCTATAGTATACGTGACATGAACTATAGAATTTCAGTACTGGCAGTGAATTTCGGAACGCAGCCATAGTTGATTGTAGTTGGCGGCTGCGTTCTAAAACTCATCGAGACCGGAGTTTTCACAAGCTTTCCGCGAGCAAATGTACGGTGGCCAGGTGTGAATCGTGCGAATGTATACGTGTATATAGGACGCACGGCGCCGTTGAAGTCGCGCTTTATTATGAGTTTCGCGGTGAAATAACGCGAATGTGAAACAATACAAGATCGTCGCTGGCGTCGTCGAGTTTCACGGTCTAACGTAGCCGATTCCTGGCGTTGGCGGATCGTCCGGCGGGCACGTATTACTCGCGTGCCACTTGGCGTGTCGCGCGCGAGTGTAACATTGTCCGCGCGCTTTCTTTCTCGCGGCTCTTCGTTTTCGCGGAGACTCGCAGTTCCTCCCGCTGTCGAAGAAACCGCGCCAACGCCGTGGCCGTGTCATCGTTGTTACCAACCGTGTCGAAATGCCGCTGCTACGTAAACAACCGTTTCAGCGTCTCCACGTCTCCTCCGATTTTAGGGACGACGACGAAGTATTCTATTGCGAGGTTACAAATGAAATATTCAAGGACTACAAGTAAGTGAATCCGTGACAGCCGCTGCCGCGTCGCCACAGAATCCGCTATTCCATCAAGCCGATCATTTGATTAACAATCTCATCGACTTATTGGTCTAATTTATAGTGTTGTGTACTGGACAGTGATTGTAGATCCATCAGCATAGAACATTGCTATGTTGAATTATGCCAAGTTTCTCGAGCAAGTTCGTTACATTATATTGCGTGAGATTGCCGTGCCAAGATTACCGGCTCAAACTATAGATCGCGAGAATTAATTGTTTAAGTTATCAATTTTATATCTATTTAAACAATTCCGATATTTTATTGTTGTTATTACATATCGCGGGATCATTTCTATAGTAACATGCTTTGAGGTTTTATTTCACACATTATTAATGCAATTGATTCTATATATATATACTTTTTTGGTTGCAGTGAATTTTGTGCACGTATTATTTTATGTAATTCACTTATATGGTCATGCAGTATCACAGGAAGGACTAGTATGACATTTCAGGAGGCTTTAGAATGCGAAGAGAATGCAAAGAAAAGTTTGAAAGAGTTTCCGATGGAGGTACATAATTTCATCATTATAGGTGTCAAATAATTATTGGCTATATTTTGTAGAGAAAGCTGCTTTGCAACTTATAAAATTTGTGAATCTGGTATATGCTATTAGATTTAGTCAAGATCAGGAGCATACACTGCAATATCTAAAAATTAACAAATATTTATTAGGTGGGTACCATTAACATATTTACTTGAATCAAAATTCTTTTGATGAAACAATACTTGGAGAGAATTTTGATGAAACAATACTTGAAGAGAATTTTGATTTAATATGTTAATGATAGCTATCTAATAAATATTTGTTAATTTTGAAATGTTTTTTTCTCGGTATACATCAATTAGATTCACTAATTTTACAACAGTTGCATAATAGCTTTCTCTGCTGAACGTAGTCATTAATAGATGTTATATATATATATATATATATATATTTATTTATTATATGTATCTTTTTATTTGTATTTCAGCTACGTATCCCTATACTATATCTTGCTAGTAAAACAAATAGATTCTCTTTTAATGAGATGATTGAGGATGTTTATCAGTTTGCGAGAGACCGCTATTTTGTAGGAGAAATGGTAGAAGCAAGTTTTACTGAAGAATCTTGGTGTAATTGTCATGTTCTTCAAGTTATTGTACCTTCTGAGCAGCAAGTTAGTGCATACCTAAATGAAAATGGCAGGTAAATATATGTATATTAAATTGTTTTATATGTATAATGTTTTTGTATAATGCTTCTTTATACTGTTGTACTTATTTCAGAAGCCTGCAAGAAAATTATTATCATCCTCCAGCAAAATTATTTCGTTACGAGGTAGAACAGTTAGATTCTGGAGACTCTGATGTCAGCCAACTCATGATAGTAGAAGCATCTCAAGTCAGAAGACGAAAACAGCATTATAGCAGAGAGCGTAATAAAATATTTCTTCGTCAGCTGTGTGAACAAAATGCCAGTGGCACCTGGGTAGTAAAGGTTGTAATACAGAATTAAATTGTTATTAATTGTTTATCGAATGTTATAAAGTTATACAATGTGAATTTTCCTTTTTTATACACAGGACAGTGTTTTGAAAAAGTACGGAGTCAGCAAAGTTCGTTTCGATACTATATTTGCAGGAACACTACCAGATTTTACAATGCGTATCAAGAAATCTGTTAAACAAAGGCAAGAATCCATAAATAAGTTTCTCACCACAGATGTGTCTAAGCAAAAGACACTGGTGAAAGCGGATCTTCAGAAAAAAGTTGGCGATACCGGAAAGGTCAATGACAATGGCGGTGTGGTGGTGAAGAAAATTCGAAAACCAAGGTAAAATCATATCATAGTAGAATTTTGTGCGAAAATTTCTTCACTCCTAATAACCCTATTTTAATACCTATATATTATCTATATTTTAATACTTTTTGTTTTAATACATATTATAATACCTATATATTTGTGAACAGAATGAATGGCAAATTTAAGGAAGAACTTAAGGCGAAAGCTCTGGAAGAGAAAGCAAAACGTAAAGAGGAAAGGGCCCTGAAAAGCGAGCACCTAAAGGAAAAGAAGCAAAAATTAGCAGCTTTAGCGGCATACGTAAAACAATGGAATAAGCCGAGAGAAGATCTCGAGTGCGAGGATCTTTGCCCCATTCCTGAACCTACTGTTATTAAATGCAATATACCGAACGAAAAGTTTGGAGACTTTGCAATGATATTAGAATTTCTCCAATTCTTCAACGAAGAATTAGAGGCGTCTGAATATTTTGCTGGAGGCTTCAATTTAGAATTATTGGAGAAGGCTTTGTTAACTAAAGAAGTATCCGGTCCTTGGAGTGATTTATTGCAGTTGCTGTTAATAAATATATTTAAATATCAGAAAGAAGAAGATAATGAGATTGATGCACAAGCAGCATCTATTTTGTTAGACGATATTAGTCCTTATGAAGGCGCATCATCAATGGCAAAGGCTGTAAAACTCGCTACAATGGCTTCTAGATGGTGTCCGACTTATCAAGGATGCAAATTATCAGAATTGACAGTGGATCACGTAACTCTGAGCGAGATATTAAGGCAACATTTATTGAGCTCTGGTGGACGCATAAGTGAAGCTGCTTCCAAATGGCGATACTCGCAGAAAGGTACATGTGTACAGACATATATACAAACATACATAAATGTAACTATGAAAATCAATAAACAACGATATTTAACGTTCACATTTTAACTATAGGTGGTTACACAAATTTTGATGAGCCAGCGCTTCTCCTAAGAATAAATGAATGTTACATTTTACGATTGTTGGGTCACCGAAATGTTTGCGAGCTCGATTTAGATGACAAAATAAAAATTGCGACATGTTTGATTAATCAGTTACTCACATTTGCACCGATACGCGATGCGATTGAGGAACGGCACGATAAACTACATCAAGCAAAAAGGGAATTGAAATTGTTTTTGCTCGCTGAGCAGAAGAAGGAGAAGGAGGAGAAGGAAAAAATGAGAGAACGTGAGAAGGAAGGCAAACTTGAGGAGGAAGATTCAAAGCCGAAGAAAGTGACGCGTGGTAATTATGAGGAAGAAAAAAAAAAGGAAGAATATGAAAGCAAGTTGAAAGAGCTGCAACAAGCATCAAGGGATGACGCGATGATGCTTTTTTTGGGTGCAGATAGAGCTCACCGAAGATATTGGAGATTTTTATCTATACCAGGTTCTTATATTCTTGTTGTCATAACGAATCTATAAAATATCAAGTTATTAGTCTACGCTTGTCCGTATTTGTTAGAATTAACATTTCATTTGCTCTTCTATTTTAGGAATATTTGTAGAGAATGACGAATGGTGGGCTGGAAGTTGCCTTCCTGAAGGCACACCACATCATCCAGAGCTGCAAGATAAAGAGTCAACATACGCATATCTAAAAAATAAGTTCGAAGATGAATTCAGTGACAAGGAGAATAGTTTTAAAAAATCAAAGAAGTCGCCGAAGAAGGTTGTGTCCTCGGACAAGAACGGCGTGAAATCGCCGCGGAAGGAAGCAAGTCGAAAAGAATTTAAACAGGACCTGACTAACATTAAAAAGAACTTGGTATTGTGTACAGGTGACAAAGACTGCCCTGTTCATTGCAAGAGATCACCACTGAAATGGAGCTTTTACGGGAATCAGGAGGACATTCAAGCGCTAATAAATAGTTTAAGTACAAGGGGCATCAGGGAAAGTGAGCTCAGACATAATCTTATACAAGAAATGGATAGTTTGCTCACTGTTATCAACGAATGTCCCAAGCATAGATTAAATCCTGACGTAGTAAGTATAACATTCACGCGTGAGGACGAATGATGGTCTGGCTAAAGAGCAAAGAGTGTAAGGAGATATCTGTATACAGTTTCCAGATCCTAGCAAAGGACAGATCAACAAGGCGACGAAGAAGAACAAGTACGAGAACTCAAACTTGAATTTTCCCCCGGAGATACCAGTTGACGAAGTGATGGAATTAACTCTGAGAGATTATATTTTGGACTTTGAGGACAAGATCAAAGCAGGCTGCTTGGGCTGCCTGAAGATCATCAATCGCGAGGTTTGGAGAAACGCGATCAACCAGCGAGGTTACGACAAACAGTGCGATAAATTAATATGCGCCAGTGGCGAGATAGATATAGACACGCCTGCCAACATCTTGATAGACAAGATAAAGAACGAGTCTAAATACAGTAGACCTGGTACACCAGACTCTGAGGTTGGCAGTATTAACATAAAGACTTACAGGGATCCGGGGATGTACTTAGATTTACCTAGCGGAAATGAAATGGTGCCGGATCAGAAACAACAAGCGATTATCAAGCAGCTGGCTTGCGCTATTCTGCAGTTGTCCCACGGTGTTGAGCAAAGGTACTTACACAGACCATTGGGGCCCGATCAAAAAGACAAGAAGTGGTTAAGCGAAGAGGCACGAGAAAAATGGGAACAGTCGCTTATGGCGTCGACAAATTGGTCTCAATTATTTATTCACTTAAGTACCTTAGAAAATAGCGTCGCATGGGACAGAAGTGTGTTGAACGCTCAGTGTCGTATATGCCGAAGGCGTAGAGACGCGGAAAATATGTTACTCTGCGACGAATGCAACAAAGGACACCATCTGTACTGTTTAAAACCAAAACTTAATGTAATCAATATTGTCTTTTTTTATATTTATAACATTGTTCCTGCGATTTTGCGACAATGGGGCATATTTTTTATCACTGCTCTCTTTATTTGCACAGGCTGTACCAGAGGGAGATTGGTTCTGTACAACGTGTAGACCGCCAGTGATAAAACCCAAGAGAAAGATTCAGAAACGAAAGAGGTTCGAAGATGAAATGGAAGACGAAGCGATATTGACCAAAGAAACGCGACATAACCGCGCCAGACGCGCGATACAGTTTACTCTTAGCGAGGAGGAAATTGGATTCGATCAAGAAGACGATAATGATCAAGAGAGCGATGAAGATATGTAAGTACTTCTCGTATTTGGCAATTCCACTCAAGACATTCGTCTTGTATCTGGAGATTTTGGCTTTTCTCTAGCGTTACAATTAAATTTGAGCTGTGACAGATTGTTCATTGAATCCTTATTATCAATTCAGAAACGCACAGTCGGGAAATATATGCGCATCTTGCAAGAGCGGTGGGAAACTGATCGCTTGCGATATATGCCACGATCGTTATCACTTGGAGTGCATAGAACCACCGTTGTCGAGAGCTCCTAGAGGAAGATGGTCTTGTACAAAGTGCAAGGATAAAAGAAGGAATGTTACGAAAGGTAACTCGATATCGTGAGCACATTTTACAGACGCGAGCTTTGTTTTCCTTATATCTCGTAAAAGCCCAACAAAATTTTTGCACTTATGAAAGGAAGTAGCAAGCAATAGGCAAGCTATTTATAAGAATGTCAAGAAAGTTTCTTAGTATGAATTATGTTAATAGTGAGGGGGCGCGAAAGGGAAAGAGACAAGGAGAGGCTGTGCGCAGCAGCAGCACGCTCTCGCATCCATGGCTTTGCCAAGAGCCTCCTCACTACAGAATCTACAGACTGGGACGGTCTGTATCGTATCCCATTTCTTACTGTATGCATAGCATTCCCTTGGTTAATTTTTTTTTCTTTTTTTTTGCCAATTGTGTGTTAGAATCGCACTTTAAGGTAATAATACGGCACTACATGTCGTACGTATGTATGTATGTGTGTATGCGTGTGTCACATATCATAAACACATGCTTAATTTATAGTTAACTTTGCAAAATCTTACTTGTTATCAGTAATAACCTGCGAACATCATATAAACGTTCCACTGTTTACTAACGCGTGCAAATCATTTCTTCAAAATAATATAAAGAGATATACGCGTTATAGCTGAAATATGTGATTTTTGGATGTGTAGATAGCAGCGCATCGGAGGACACCGAACCGAGGCAAACGCGACGCGCGACTAAGAGGGCCGCTGAAATTGAACACGAGGAAGACAAAAGCTCGATCAAAGGATCCATGGCGAGATTGCAAGAATTACTGTCCGACATTAGGCACCACCGAGACTCCTGGCCGTTCCTCTCGCCCGTTACGAAAGATGAAGTCCCAGATTACCACGACATCATTTCTAACCCGATGGATTTCGGTACAATCAAATACAAGCTCGGTAACGGGGATTATCAGAGGGTAGAAGAGTTTTTTAGCGACTGCCAATTGGTTTTTGATAACTGCAGATTGTACAATAAGGAGCACAGTTCTGTCTACAGGTATATGTTGACATCATCATTATCCGTAACATATAAGTTCGGATGCCAGAGATTTTGTGTCTCACATCTATGTCGTTAACACATTTTTATTAGTATAATTAGTAATCAAAGAAAGTATGTTAGCGTTTATCTTGTATCATTTCTTCATAGCAATTGACTAGATAGATGTGCAAAAAAAATTCTCTGGTTAATTATTATATGTGAATCCATTCAGGTTGACGAAATATTAGAAATACGACAACTCCCTACTCACATACGTAATACTTAAAGCCATAGCCGAGTAAAGTAATATTGTTGTACATAAAATCAATTACCTCATACAATGGTTCAGAATAAATGCGATTAACTATTTTTTTATACGACTAACTTAGCAGTAAGAATCAACTTCTGACGTTTGCGAGTGGTATATGAGAACATTGACTTGTGCGACGTGGCTATAGATAACTTTGCTGTTGATGCATAAGTAATCTTTGGCCTCCGAACCAGTTTGGGAATAATACGTAAGCAGTAAAACTATGCCTTTTTAAAAATAGCTACGTGTACAGGGCAGGAACGCGACTACTCAAGTACTTTGAAAAACGCTGCAAAGAATTGGGATTGGATCTTGGCGAAGCGCTGTTTCAAGAGCCTAAGCCTAAGAGGGCGAGATTGAACGGCGATGGTTTTGAAGAAAATGGAGCGACCGACAGCGAGGACGATGAAGGGGAGCTACAGAAAAGAAGATAGAAGCGAGACATAATATATATTTCAGTATGCATACTCTCATGAGATTCTTAAATCTTTATGCTTCTCGTAAATTTGATATATTTTCAACTTATACAGACCTATGTATCGATACCAAGCGATGAATAGATTCTGGTATATAGCTCAAGACTTTTATAAACTATGTACCGATTCTTTTCGCAGCGTGTAACAAAAAAGATTATTCCAACAATTTGCGGAATAGTACAACTGTGAAAATTTATTTTGCGAAATCGATATGAACGGAGAAAATTTTCTTTACTCTCTAGAATTTATTTTACCTCGAGGCTTGTAATAAAGATGTACGCAGTATTATTTGCAACAATTCATATACGTAAGTCGCACTACATATACTTTTTAAGTATATCGCACGTATGCATTGTATCGAGTGTACGCATCCTGAAACAAGCATATACGAGCAGCGAGTTAGTTCCATTTGCTTTGAATTGTACAAGAGTAGCACTATTTTCTTTATAAGTGTATTGTTAAAGAAGAAAATATTCGTTACTACGAAATTAATATTTTCGCATTTTCTTCTCGACAATTATTTATTATGTTATTATTATTCGCGCATTTCGTGCACATACTCTTATCTATGGCTATTGATGATCGTTTACTGTGTATGTGGTAAGTTAAATGTTAGAAATTTTATTCCTTTCACCCTTCCCCCCTCTCAAGAGAAAAAATACGCGCAAAGTTTAACCGTTAAAACACGAGAATTATGTCGCGATAGAGAGTTGCGGGATACGTTAAAATTCAAAGTTACTTCGTTCTAGCTGAACACTGCTTTTGGAAAATGCATAAACACTACTCATAAATTCATGTTTGTAGATCCAGACAATAAAGTTGGGTACTTTTGTACATCATGTTCTATAACCATTGCCAACTGTAACCATTGAAAATTGTTATATTATTTATATTTTACAAAGAAAAATTTCTCTGTCCCATTATATGATAGTATTAGTGTTTCTTTATGTATATCAATCTTCAACACTTTATGTTTTTAAGACAAATCGACGGGAGAGCTATAATAAGAGTTATCATTTTTTGTTTGTTGTAACCGAGCAACTACAAACTTCTTTTTAATCATGTATGTTTTATATAAACATTATTGTAGTAATAGAGGTTTTCAAACAGTTTTGGATGTACAACTCATTCTTTGTCTTCCTTTAAATAATTTCACATATATGATCGAGTTTATTTCTTCTAATTGTACACTATAGAGATTACAAGTTTTCTCTTATGTGTATTATTAATTTTAATGCATATTTATTTAATCACTGCATTTATATCTCAATGATGACCAGTGCCTTCAAATGATTCTTTCCATTTTTTCTCCCAAATCTTAACATTTTCAGGGCTATATGCTGGAATGAAAAAAGTAAAAAATTACAAACATACAATAAATTTGAGTAATATAAAATTTAAGATAAATTGTTTGACTTACATAATTTCTGTATTTTGTAGAATACAGGTAATGTTATAAAAAGGGAATAAAACATATATCTGTACATCCAGGAATGGGTCCAATAATATTTGTATGGAAACTGAGCCATTTTTGCCACAAATGTATATGGATATTTCATAGGTCGAAACTGCGTGTTTTCAGCCATGTTGACTGTTTAAAATAAATGTAACTTATAATAAATCACATTTATACTATAATATAGGATTTACTCAACACTATAAATGCTTTAAAGCTATATACAGTATCACTAATATGCATATCTGTAGTTTGTAATGATATTGTACTACACTAGAACTGCTTTGAAGCATTTGCAGAACTGAATCGGCTGTTCTAACAGTTTTATAATTGGAATAATGTTTTGTTTGCAATTCTGATGATTCATGAAATAAATATTTTAGTACTATTACATATATATGAACTTAGCGTTTTACTGTGTGATAGATGACCTGACAATCGCAAATTACATAAAACATGTATACAATGTACATAACTAAAGTTTTATTTTACTATATGTATATATAACTAAAGATTTTTTTTCTTATTATATATTTATACAAATTCTAGTTAAGCGCAAACTTAACATACTATTGACAGAATGTGCACAATACTTGACTTATTAAACCATTGCATAAAAAAAACCAATGAAGGTAAAGGATAGATAAATAATATATATATGTATATATATGACAATTTCGTTTAGGATCTCAATTATTTAATATGACAAAATTGACACCGGCTTCAATATTGTGTGTGTATAGATGTTGTGTGTTCTATTCTTATCGTTATTTTTAATACTCCAAATTACTCACAAGTCTAACTTTCCAACGTTTTAATAAGAAGAAAATATAGCCACCATCGAGCAGTTTTACGTAACTAGTGTTTTCATGTAGCCTATTCTTATATGTGTCAAACGTCACAATAGGTGGCGCACCTGCAAACAGTAATTTAGTACATGAAAACCGTTCATTAAGCGTTCACGAATAGCTCCTCACCGAGCGATTAAATTGCATAAATTATTCTTTTTAGGACAGATTCGTATAGTGATTGTATAATATATACATAAGTCAACTCGAGTATATATAAACTTGTTTCAATCCTTTAAACTGTCCCAAATTGAAATTTGCGCAAACCCGCTATATACAACGACGAACCAATCAGAAATCATCATGGCTGTCGCCGCTTCAACTGCAGCGGGGAGGTTTCGAGTGGACACAACCTATATATGTAAAGGCCGATCTACATTGGTCGTAACGTTGCAAGCGTCGTAAAGCCCATTCTACAATTGGGTAAGCGTAGTCGTGAACGTAAGAGTCAACCAATTCGAATGTTTTATTCACTAATTGCTTTATTCTGATTGGTTGTCGTAATCACTTACAACCACTTAAAACCACGTTCACGCAATTGTAGAATGGGCTTAATGCAAGATTCACACCACGTCCGATGTCCGACGTATGACGTCCAATATCCGATAGGAGAACAGCTTTCTAAGGCTGCGTTCAGATCCCACACTCGGGTATATTCTATTACTAGAAGTGCTATAATATATGTAACATAACTATAGTATTTCTAGTAATAGAGTGCACCCGGATGAAGAATTTGAACGCACCCTAATATAGAATTCAATTCTCCATTGGAAAGCTATTCTTTTATTGGATATTGGACATCGTACGTCGGACATCGGACGCGGTGTGAATCCTACATAATGGCTCCTACACACAGGACGAGTAATGCTTGCCGCGCGATGGAAGTTCGCGCGACAGCCAATCAATATATTACTTCCCGTAATAACCTTCTAGCTCTTACGGAAAAGCAACATATTGATTGGCTATCGCGCGGACTTCCGCCGCGTGGCAAGCATTACCGCGTCCTGTGTGTAGAAGCCATAAGCCAATACGATTAGACCTGACGCCTTATCGAACTAACCTCATACACACACACACACACACACAACGTTATAGACACTTTCCATATTTATTTTTCTTATTTATTATCACTTACTCAGTTTCTTTAATGCATTTCCAGTGAGAAATGACTTGTCGATCGACGTCGAAAAAACGTCGCTATGTTTACATGTATATATGTTAAATTTTGTCGCCACGCTTGCGCATTGCGATCATAGAACACTCTTTTCTAGTGAACCAATTATCGTCCATCTTTTATTCTTTAGTCTTCTTTCATTCTCTCTTATAGCAAAAATTCCTCTACGCGCCATATAGGGCGTGTTTCGTTACACACTCGCAACGTTCGCAAGTGTCATTCTATCTTTGTTGCTCATGAATGTTAAACAAAGATAAAATGACGCTCGCGAGCGTTGCGAGTGTGAAACGCACCCCTAGTAGTATATATATGGCACAGGGTGCTTTCCAATTGCTTAACACATATTAACACACACGTACACAACCAGTTTATAGATCACATTATCTAAAATATCTTGTAAGATAATATGCAACCAATAAACTGGTTTTGTGTAACTGGTTTTGTGTATGCAACTGGAAAGCATCCACAACCAATCAATGCAAGAGGTTTGTCGCGTCCAATGCCCCAACATACTCCTACTAGCTCCAATGCATTCAGATTGGTTTACATCACCACGCGGACCAATCAGAGTGCGTTGAAGCGAGTAAGAGCACGTTGAGGCATGCGACTGAACAAACCTAAAGATTTATCTGGTAAATAACTAGGTCCTACCAATCGGGTCCCACCTGATTACAGCCATTCCATCGCGTGGCTCACGAATTTGGTTGAGACTCATGCCGGTGGATGGTAATCGCAAGGGTGTGCGAGCGATGATCTTTGAGAAATCGAGTTTTATCGCAATGTAACAGCATCGGAACCGTCCACGAGTCGCAACAGCCGTGCAAGGATACGAGAAGAAAAGAAAACGAGTGGAATGCATCAGGATGCAGCAGGGTTAGATAATGTTAAGGTTAGAGGTTAGAATGCGGGCAGGATGGGCGCGAGTCAAGCTCACTACGGTTCTGGGCGCGACTATCGGCTGCGGCGGTAGTCGCGCGGGCGAGAGAGGCTAGCGGGCTTCCGCGCGGCAGGTTGAGAGGAGAGCGCGTTCGTCGCGGAGTAGCGAGCAAACAGGCGGCGCGCGAGTGAACAGTGAGCGGCGATCAGCGCGAGAGAGCGAGATAGCTAGCGAGCGTGCACACGAGTGAACGCGTGCGATTTCCCTTCGAAAGAAATGTCGGCGCTCGCCGCAGCGGCGTGTTAAACGGCAAAACATGTCCAAAGCGCTGCTCGGTCGCGCGCAGACACCCGGCGGCGGTGTTCAAACGGGCGCAACGGTGACCTGCGTGGTGTGCGAGCGAACTGACAAGCTGTTGAGATGCTCGCGTTGCAAAGCGGTGTTCTATTGCACAAAAGAGCATCAGAGAAGCGATTGGAAACGTCACCGGGACTTCTGCGCGACCCATCCGGCGGTGCGAGCCGCGTCCGCGAGCGAACCCCTCACCGCCGCGGACAGGAATTTCAATCGCGAGCTCCCGCCGTCCAGACATCTCGCCGTCGACAAGGTGCCGAGCGCGCCAGTTCCTAACCTAGCCAGGATCCCCATCTCGGACACGTCATGGGTCACGAACGTCATCTCGGAGCCGTATCGGAACGCGAAGCAATTCACAGGTACGTGTCTCACTTCACCATTTTGCCGCGACACCTTATCGTCCGTTGAGATGTTTTGTGCAGTTGTAGGCGTCTCGAGCTCGCGTTCGTGCCGATAAACGCGCGATATTAATAGCGAGCCCTGTCGATTCCGCGTTCGCGCCTCTCGAGAGATGTTTGCTGCGATCGGCGGTTTCTCAAACAGTGCGACACGGATGCCTCTCGCCGACGTGTCTCACGAACTTCCCATCCGTCCCTTAGTTTGACTAAACTCATTGTTCTCGTACACTGTGCCTAATTGCAGCCATTACGCAAGGAGGAAACGGATCGAGTCAGCACGAACGGAAGGAGAATCAGAATCTTAAGAAGAAGCCGAACAGCGGAAAGTCGCGGAACGTGCGCAACAGCAAAGCCGATTGCTGGACGTTGCCCATAACGTACGAGGGAAGTTCCGAGGACACCATACTGGGCGCCAGGGCAGAACTCTTGAATCCCGCCTTGGAGAGCTCAAGGATCTTTGAGAGCTTGACTAACGCAGACCTTGGAATGCCTATCCGGCATCACAACGGCACCAAGAGCTTCCCAGAGGTGCAGTTGGGTCAGCAGGAACAGGAAGAGGAACTCTTGCCCCCTTTTTTACATAGGAATAGGGACGATATTGAGGAGCTGTTGGATGAAATTTGCCGGAATATGATAAGAGACATGAACAACTACGGTGTGTGCGTGGTGGACAATTTTTTAGGCAAGGAGAGGGGTGAGGCAGTGCTGAGGGAGGTTTTAAATATGTACAGTGCAGGTTTATTTAAAGACGGACAGCTGGTGTCTAATAAGGCTGGTGCAAATGACTTGAAAACAATACGTGGTGATCAGATCACATGGTTGGATGGCAAGGAGCAGCAATGCCAGAACATTGGTATACTCATATCGCGGGTTGATGCAATCATTATGAGAGCCAACAAGATGCGTAACAATGGGAAGATAGGAAACTATACAATCAACGGAAGAACAAAAGTGAGTATATCTTTGAATTTGTCGCAGCGACGCGAGTCTCTTCAAGTACGCTCGTTTGCGATACGCGGATTAAGCCTGGCGTGAAATAATTTATTTCTTACTCCACACAACTTGCGCCAAGCTTACTCCACATACTGTAGGTGAATCTTTACGTGAGTTTCTCAGAGAAACTGTGAGATCGTCCAGGCTGTGTAATCGCCTGTGAGTTGCACGAGATCATTGAGATCGATGTTTCTTTGCACTTTCTTTTGCAATTTGTTCACAAGACCGAGTTTTATCAAAGGAAACTGAATACGTCATGTTCAAGCAGCATACTTGGACTGTACATTAGATAATATTCCAGAAAAAGCGAGCTGCAAAGAATAGGGTAACTGTGTGCATGGAGTATCCGTTTAATAGCAGTCTTCGTTGAATTAGTGAGCGATCTCTCGTGAAGTCGTTTGGCCACATTAATTACCAGTCTACTACGTGGAAACTATTAACAAAATACGCCATGAGATTTTCAGACGCGCGCGTGGATGTTGCGGTGACATGCCAAGAGGTGAACGCGATAGGGAAGGTCAGAATTCCAAAAATGTGACGATCCCTCGCGCGCGCGCGAGCGAGAAAGAGAGAGAGAGCGTAAAGAGGAAAGAAAGAGAGAGGCGGAAAGAGAGAGCATCGAAGCAAACTTGAGAGTGGGAATAAAGCGCGAGGTGCGATCAGTCACGTACGCCGCGCGATTTCATGCGTCCCGCCCTCTTTCTCTACCACGCACCGATACGATACGACAAATTTGTTTCGCACTACGGAGACGTAAGGTAAAAGCACCGGAACACGCGCCTAATCCTAGATATTTTTATTATGTCGGTTTTTAAATACGAATATGTTAAACTATCAACAAAATACACAGAGTGTCCGTGCATTTACCGTAACGTATTTATTATATTCTTACCAATTACAATGATCGGACGAGAAAAAGTTCTAGATGTAATTAATCAGTTTCTAAATGGCAATAAAACCCAACAATAAAAATTTCGTTCCCTTTCGTAAAAAAATCAAGGACAGCTTTGCTTCCTTAAATGGAACGATATCTTTTCTTTTACCCGTAGTGTTGTAAAAAGAACCAATTCCAGCAGTAACTCATAATATTATCTTTATTGTTATCTGACGGAAAAAAAGAGCAAAGTAAAATAATAATGAAGAATTTCAAGAACGTATGATGTAAGTAGGCGGAAGTTTGTGTTGCAGAAAATTAATTACGTCTCGGATATGTTCTGAACACCGAACATTATGAATTATATTGTATTCCAAATATTATTGTATCTTCTATCTGAATTTTTACTGTTAAATGTTAGTAAAGATAACGTTATGAGTTACTACTGAATTTGTTTTGATCCTTTTCGCAATACCACGGATAAAAAAGGTGAAAGTAACTTTGATTTTTTGCGAAAAAGAACGTTTTTTCGAATGTTTCCGATATTATTGCATCTATTTTATTGTCGCTTAAAAACAGATTAATTGCATCTAGAACTTTTTCCTGCTCCAATTATTGTAACTGATAAAAAAAATGGATACTGTTACAATGAACACCCTACATATGTGTGTGTGTATTGAAAGTTGAAATATCTGTATTTAGAGGCCAAAACAATAAGAATGTTTAGGATTAGATACACGTGTCTGGAACTTCTACCTTACTTACTTGCACACTCGATCTGTCTTCAGCGATAGTTTTACACGAGAGAAATAAAAATATTTCTACCGCGATATACTGAATTCCATAAATAACCATGTTAATACTTCTCTCTCTTTCTCTCTCTCTCTCTCGCTCTCACATACACATCAGTAAGTTCCGCTTGATTCTCGTATTGTTCACGATTGTGTTGCAAAGCTGACTATTGTTAAATTATTAAACAGTCGTCTATTGTAACTCGTAGCTATTTGTTCCACGTTATCATTATCGTTTCGTATGAGAGAGTTGTGTTACATACCTCGAAAGGTAATGTTATCTCGTTTTTAACTCGCTACATCCTGTATTCGTTTCACAGTACTGGAAAATTTGTGCAAGAGAAAGAGAAAGGGGAATTTTTGTAACGTTATCATCAGGCTGTTAGCAATGTGCCGGCGTTATTATCAGAAAGGATTTGCACGTGTAATAACATATCTTCGGTATGACTGAAACGAACTTGTCGATTGCTTTACATTAAAACTAATTGATTGTTGCGTTGTAAACACGATACACCGTGTGTATCATAATCACGGGAAAGATAAAATGCAGAATATTTTGTGCGTCGATGTCCGCTTCATTATATCTATCGCAATCAACAGTTTTTTTTATGTTTTTAACTGTTCTCACTGTTATTGACAAGTGTCCTGAATTATTTGTGTTCAGCTTATGGTTTTTAGTTATGAGGCTGTGCAAGTATTTTGAAATAAAAAAACAGGCTTAATATTAAAATGAGAAAAGTCGACAAATTGCGGTGTATACGTCATAATTATGATATTAAAGAAGGGAAAGAGAGAGAGAGAGAGAGTGAGAGAAATAGCAAAATAGCTTGCGTACTGAAATATTTACATACTATTTGTTGCAGATCTATCGGGTATTGTCTGCATTTGCATGTCTGTATCACGATACGACATAATCGTTTAATGCCTTTTCTAATTCGCACGTCTGTAATGTAGGAATACCTGGAATCTTACGAATATGATTTGAAATTTTCCTCGTTCCTTGCGGCTGGTAACCAACTGATTATATGCTGACGTACAAGTCGATTAGTCATTTGTTTTACAATAGTCGTTTACTTCTTTCTTTTACACCTTAGACTAGATCTCAACTTTGAGAAAGACGTATCTTGAAACGAGACGCGCAACCGCGCAAAGATTATTTTAATAAATTACTACAGTTTATTGTACATATAACATAGCAATCTAAGCATCTTTTGTTAATTTCGTGAAATGTAAAAGAAACGTATGAATGTCCTGTCACCGGATGTAAAATCGAATTGTGGCAATTATATATATTACATATATTTGTATATCTAAAATTTTGAATTGCATTAAACAGACCTGTAGGCTTATTCTGTAACTCTTAACAGCAGTTTTGTTATCGTTGCGTTGTCGTTGCTATAATATAATATATGGTAGAAAATGTACATAACGACAAAGTAACGATCACGGCATTGCCGTTAAAATATACAGAACAGGCCTACTGGCGTGGTAGTTTATCAATTATCAAATCTTTAAAATTTCTCTTCCTTTTGCGTTTCAGGCTATGGTAGCTTGTTATCCTGGTCATGGCTCGCATTATGTAAAACATGTGGATAATCCCAACCGAGACGGACGTTGCATCACGGCCATTTACTATCTTAATCAGAATTGGGACATTAAGGTACAGGTTTTATATACATATATACCTTCGACGGAGCTTTTAAGAAAATATTCGAAACTGTTCATGTAAAGATAATCTATTTGATGATATAACGTTGAAAGTCGAATAAGTAGAATATAAAATCTAGAAATAAATGCACATCGACATTGGTCTGTAAATAATTGCTTTTCTCCTATTGTAGAAGAATGGCGGACTTCTGAGAATATTTCCTGAAGGATGGCGTGATCAAGTAGCGAATATTGAACCCCTGTTCGACAGGATATTATTTTTCTGGTCTGACAGGCGAAATCCGCACGAAGTGCAACCAGCATACGAAACTAGGTACGCTATCACGCTCTGGTATTTCGACGCTGAAGAAAGAAATCAGGCTTGCAGAAGATATCAAAGGGAACGTACGTAAGCGATCGCATCGACACGTACGCGCGCGCGCGCGCGCGCATTTTGCTTGTGACTATGAAAAGGTAACCGTAACCTTATTTACGAGTATTAATTATTATAACTTGGATCATAAATTATCTTCCCAGGAGAATTGAACAAGACGAATCACATTTCGTGAAACGCGGAAGACGTACTACGCCCTTTGGACTGATATCCCTCACTCTGTACATAAAATATGTATTATTATGTATTATGATACAGCTGATAATTTTTGCGGGAGGAATTGAATAGCTTACGAAACAAAACAAAATTATTTTATCGGCGATGAGTGTTTAAAAAAAAAAGTGCAATAGACGTAAGTGATCTTTCTTTTCTTCCGTTTTTCTTTTTTTTTTTTTTACAGATGAAACTGTAATATATGTGATGAGTTAATGTGTGTAGTTGTTGCAATTTATACTTATATGTATAATCGTTTATTTGAACTTCTAAGATCCGCTGCGTGCGTTCGCACTCTAACCCAGTATTTAAAATATCGGTTTTGCATCCTGCGTTTCAAAGAAAGCTTATACTTGTGTCGATCATTGACTTCTCCATTACGTAAAGTATTAATCACCTTTGCATCGTGTAACATATAAAATATTTTAAACGAAACCGTAGGATATATAATGTGCAAAAGAAATCTTTTCCAAAACTCGCAGACGTTATACCTTGTGATTGTATTACAAATAAATTTATCTCTCCGTAATGTTTGTACGCCATTTCTTAGAGATAATAAGGCAACTACTTGCTAAAGTTATATCGCTCACGTAAAGTGTAATATTGACATTGTTACATATTACGATTAAACACAGATCTAAAACTTTTTACGCTCCTCCAACGATATCACGTTCAGTTTACTATGGCCAGTGACTGATTTTTGTTCCCAGCGCAACAAATTGAAATTAAACGAAACTCAATCTGTATCTGTATAATATTATGTATATTGTCACGTTGTAAAAATATACACACCCAAATATTACATACATATATACATATATATATACATACACACAAGGCGATTGTGGGCTAGATTATAGCTCTTTCCTAAGCGAAAATAGAAGAAAGTGGCAGAGAGAAATGTTGCACTGTTTAATATAATTTACCATTCTACGACCATACTTTTTCCATATTCCATTAAAAGTTAAAATAGATCATTAATAGTTGAAATTTGTAAAAGTTTGAAATCAGTTTGAAATTTGCAAAAAATTACCAATACTTTCCATATTTATTGTTCTAATCTAAACATCGATGTCGTTTGGGAGCTGACAATCTTGGATCTGATTGGCAGCAGGCACGTAGGTTTGAAACGAAAAATTATTTTTCGAGAACATGCCGGGATTAATAACATAACAGTCGGAGTAGCTGGCGGTATACGTCTCAAAGTTGTCAGCGACGACAATAAGATCTGGTGTTGGGAAAATTTGTAAAGCATGATCATACTTCCAGTACACCGGTACGACTTCTAGTGGCACAGGTGTCAAGTGTGATTGGCTGATAATGGCTCTGGCAAACTAAAATTTCCCAATGTTTCCGTTAGATATATCACGTTTTGTATCATAAAATAAAAACATATTAATTACTTACATGCTTAAAAAAGTCTTCCTCTTTTGGGAAACGAAGTGAATTTCTGCACATCTTTGTTAACATATCTTCCCTCAACACTACAATTTCTTTCGTGCAGTACTGTATTCTGCATGGATTCGTAGTAAAAATAGCGTTTGGTATCGATTTCGTGACTTCTTCGATGATACATTTAGGCAAAGGAGGTTTAGGTAAAATTTTAGGGGAGCCTAAATCGTGTGGGCCAGGTACAAAAACAAATTTAGAAGCTTCCTTCACATTTGTATATTGTATTATTATATCCACCAGGTTTTTGAAACCTGTGATTAAGGCTTGTGGACTGGTTATATTGGTAGGAAAACTCAGAAAATGGCCACACAATACAAAAGCTATAGGAGGATAGTCCATGTAGCCTTCCAATATCATTTGGAATTTTTGTAAGACATTGGGAAAGTCTAACCATAGCTCCGCTATGAATACTATTATACCGTCCTCGTTATTTTTTTCATGGACTTGTAACTTTTCTGACATTTTTAAAGACATACTATGAGGACCACCAAATGTATTAGTATCACCAAAATCTGATCGAAAACTTTCCCATGACTCTATCGGTGGAAAGCTAATATTTTCTACATGTAATGTATCATCCTTGTATGTTCCAATAGCTATTATTATACAGCCTTGCATTATGAAAGCATCCTGAAAATCGTGTTAGTAAGATAAGAAAAACTGTGCTGTATATGAAAATTCCATTATTTTAGTATAAATTTTTAGAATCCTGCAAAATATCTTGATGATACTGTGTAGCAATTAAAACATATATTAAAGGATATTGTGTTGCTCAAGTCAATTTTAACAGATCCACTTGTATCTTCCAAGTAATATTGATCTTCTGTTAATTGTGTTAATAGACCCATTATACAAACATTTCCAGTTTTCAGCTCACTCAATAAATATTCTATGGGTATTAAATTAATCTTATCCAACGGCTGTTTCTCAAACTTGGAGGACAAAAATTGTTTGTGTCTCAAAGTTTTGTACCACACCATTTCAAAACGATGCTTGAAGATTAATGATTTGCATTGTGCCTCAGGATGTATGTTTTCACTGTCAATTATATACTTCTTCTTACATATATCATACTTTATCTTTGGTATATCATATCCATTTATAACATTAAATATTGTTTCTGTGTCCTTTAATTTATTTGGCTCTGACCACTCCTCAATAGCACTTTTTACATGTTCAGCTGTAACATGTGGACCATCCAAGTTTTGAGCTAAAATCAGTTCTATGATGCGACTGAGCCAAGACTCACGTTCTTCTTCTTGTATTTTTAATAGACGCTTTGCAAGGGATACTCTGAGTTCCCTAAAAGCATCATATGCAAATATAAACAGAAATATATATGTAATTATCGGTCTAATAAAAATAAATTCACTTAGTCAAATAAAATTCAGCAATTAATTAGGAGATCTATATTTGCTTTTAATTAACGTTTGTTATTGTAAGAAAAATACTTACCTCGACAACACTAGGCCGTATAATGAAAAATTCATTTGAATCATTTGTATACATTTATTATCAGCCATCACTACACTTGTTTATTAAAGGAATGATTAAAATTAGATCAAAACAAGAGAGAATAGATTCAACTTTTACAGTCTAATATGTATAAATCAAGTTTAACCGTTAAAGGAAAGATTATTTCATACTATCTTCATGATCATTACCCAAGCTGAGGTTAAGCATATTTCTTTTCCCGCCTTCGTACGTATGTCCGTTTTGACCGCTACAGGTCTGTTCGTTTTTAAAGAACTTCTGCACTAGTGCAATAAGTTAGAGTGAAACATACTTTCTTTTATTTTAACTTATTGTACTAGTGTGTACTAGTTTAGAAATTCTTCGAAAATAAACAGACTTCATGATTCAATAATGAAATTAAATTGGAGTGGTGTTGGGGGAAAATCGTAGGAGATTACCAGGGTCCTTATTCTTGAAATAGTTGCGTATGTAAGTTTTACTGCGCAGGTTTAATCATACCATAAAATAGCTGCGCAATGAAAATTACGTATACGCAAAAATTTCAAGAATAGGGACCTTGGAACCAATATAGAGAGAGAGAGAGAGATTCAATAATGAATTTACATTGCACTGAACATATGATCAATTAAAGTGCTATTAAAATTTACGTATGTTATGAAAAATAAATAATTTAGAATGTCTATATTTATTATTTATCAACTATATTTTATTGTATATACTATAAAAAGAATCAATTGTGTTTTCAATTTTAATCGAGTAATCTAACAGAAAAAGTGTACTCTGTATGTACTTCAGTTCAAAAGATTTCATTGGCTAGATATTATCTTAAGATGATACATAGCCAATGAAATGATTTGTGTTAATGCAGATTTTGCAAATGAAAAGCATCCTCTATATTCCATTTGCTTTACTTTTGATGGCTGACATATGTGTCACCGGTATTTGCCACGCATGTACTCAAGAGCTTGTTAAAAGTTTTCCATCTTTTGATAGTTTGCAGAAATATTGGAAAAATGACGGCACTGAAAGTATTGTTTAAGTTTTGGTCAGAGTACGCAAAGAACACATCTAAGAAACTGAAAATCATCGATGCCTATTTACTATATGTGTTCCTGACGGGTATTATACAATTCGTATATTGTTGTCTCGTTGGCACATTCCCGTTCAACAGTTTCCTCAGCGGCTTTATATCCTGTGTATCTTGCTTCATTCTAGGAGGTAATCACAATATTAATTATATAATGTCTTCATTTATACTGTGCATTTATTTGATTACTCGTCATCGATTACTTATTTCATTGGTTTTATCATTATTGTGACTGTAGATGTCAGAAATTAAACTTTCCCTTATTTACACATTGATATAAAAGATGTTTTATACGATAAACTGTTTATGATACATTTCTTACTATTTCATTAAAGTGTAGTCTTGAACGTGTTAATATAACCTTATCTATACAGGAAAATCTATTTCCTATAAACACGTACACAATACTTATTGGCAATAATCACTTTTTATATAATTTTTTAGAAATGTGTGCGATGCAGTTATATACTTTGTTTCAGTTTGCCTTCGATTGCAAGTTAATCCACAGAATAAAAATCAATTTCATGGCATAAGTCCGGAAAGAGGATTCGCAGATTTCATTTTTGCACATATTATATTACATATTGTTATAATGAATTTCATTGGATAAAATTTATACAAACTATGCAGTATGATTAAAATTACAATGCATTAAGTGCAATCGTTACAAGATGAGTTATTTTGGATGTATACATATGTTTTTGTACTTGTGAATCAGTCACAGCTCATAATTAATTAATAAATAACTTCAATATAAACAGCTGTGATGTTATATTTAATATCCCTTCTTGATTAGTTTACCGTATATATATATTTTGTAAATATATATTTTGTGAAAATCTTTACAAAATATAAAATACTTGGGAAATATTTATTAAGTGAAATTAATCACAGAATAGTTGAGATTATATAATTCTAAAATGGACTCTAAAAAAATCAAGTAGATTTTTCTTATAACAGTGTTTTTCATTATGTCATAAAAAATTTACTTTGTGTGACATGTTGATGTAATTTGTTATTTTAAGATATATATAGTATTATTAATTTTATGTAATTATGTCTATAATAGTACGATTTATTATTACATAAATATAAAAATTTTTAAACATTGACATAGAAAGAATAAAGGAAAACGTTGTAGCTACAACAATCTATAATATATTTTATTTGTCTTATTGGTTGTACAATGTCAAGTGGGAGATAGGTATTGCGTTACTATAGTAGATAGGTTGGACATCTTATGCTTATATATACAAAGATCCTAAGGAAAATTTCATATTGTATCATAAAGATATAGTTTTAAGAGATTCAGGAAAGCATTGTTACACACTCCTTTAACTAGTCAAACCAGCCAAACATTATGTCCTTTCCAGGAACGGATTATGATTTAATAAGGCTACTTTTTTTATGAAAATATAATTTTCATACATAGGCGATAGAAACGAAATAATATTATTTCTTGAATTATTTAAATGCTGAAGTTACTTTTGAAACAAAATAGTTTCAACGTTTTAGAGTTTTAATATAACTAATGTCTTAACACAAAATATAATAAAATGTAGCAAAAAATAGATTTTGTTTGGCGGTGTGCCAGTACGTTAAAAACTTGCCTTTGTAATCATGTTTATTATCACGTATTTTCCATTTATATACTACTTAGAGATCGATAAAATAAATAATTCGATTAATATATTTATAAAATTTTAGTACAACGATGAGTAATATCGATACCATTAATAAAATAAGTTTTCCTCATCTGTTTGCGGTGCAGACGTTTGCACAAATGTCTATTTCTCACTCATGCACACAAACAACACATGAATATATATCATACAAACATATATTTATCCTGTAAATCTATAATTGTACATATGTACGTGCTCTCTCTCTTTCTCGCTCTCTCTCGCTCTTCGTTTCTTTCTCGCACGCGCGCGCTCGGTATACTCAAATGTAAGTAAATGTTCGTAATGAATTAATCACACGATCAAGCTAGGAAACTGAAGCTGTAAACATTAGCATAATAACTGTTATCATTAACATAATACACAATTAATTTACGTAGGTTGCATTGTTATGATAATAAATAATGAATCATGAAATACTTTATCAAATTCAGGATCACTCATTTCATTAACTAGAATTTTTAGTATGTTAATGTAGGTATAATTAAGATTAACTATATTAGTTTAAATATATTAGAATTTACTCGTTATTAGGGCCCTCGCTATAATCAGGAAAGTTCGTGAAGCTAAATCTTTCCGGCCGATGCCACAGTCCTCTCCGGAACGCGATCGACGGAGTGGATTTTTTTCATTTATACTAAGCAACATTATGCATGTTGCAAATTTGTATTAAATAACAAATAGCATGTTCACGTCATCAGAAAGCAAGAATTGAAACCAGTATAATTCTGACAATTTCTAATATTATAGAGGAAGGATCTCGTACACAATATCGACATAATTTTCTCGTGAATTAAAGATTTCAAGTCTAAAGGTCATTGTTCCATGTCTATAGTACTTAAATACTGTAACAGAAATTACATTGGTTTCGATCTTTTGAAATGTCAATAAGGCATCAAATGATTTGGCAAGATTCACCATTGAATTCACAAAACTTCACGAATTTCTGAGCCCCATATCTCATTGATTGGCATACGAATCTAAATTTTATACAAGATTTACAACTCGTTACTATGATTTTCGCCATTTGTGCGAAATAAGTTCGTTTATTTGACAAGATCAATCTAACGTCTGACGTAAACTTTAAAACAAAAGAAACATAATTCTAAATGGGTTATATATATTTGTTTTGCATCGAATTATCTAACAGATTACAAAGTATTGACAATTTCTCTGCATAATTGGAATTCATAACGAAGCATGTACGTATCTGACATTCAACTTGGATCGGATATTATCGGGTTCAAATACAGAGTGGATGGTTATATATATATATATATATATATATATATATATATATATATATATATATATATATATATATATATATATATTGGAATCAAGAATCTCTTATATTTTGCACTCCTTTTATATACGGAAAATTTGTCGACCGTCACATCTATGCGAACCGACAAATGCATTTTATACACGTTCAAATTTACACGCGCATTGTTTTCAGAAATAGCTGCTAAAATTCCGAAAAGTATAACTGAAGTATAACTGAACCCATACTCATTTAATTGGCACGTGTCACTTTATCATTTTTATGGCACTCGATACATACATTAAATTAAAATTTGGTGCGGCTATTACAACCAAATTTCAATCTATTTACATATGTTTTACGATTGTTTTAACAAATTATATGTAAGACGTTATACGAAGAGATTTAAAAGTGTTAATTCTTAACATTCTTTCTTTTTATCTCTCTTATAAGCGTTTCATTTATTTACGAAGTGATCCTCTGCTCTCAGCTTACTCTGGTACACATTATTAAAATAGAGTAATAGATAAGTGTATGTAATTAATTCACAGAAAAAAAGCAATAAGCATAATGACTCCGACTTTGCACTCCGACTTTCTTCATTAAGCGCGTATATTCGCGAAGAAAATTATTCTCGCGTAATTGAAAAAAGAAAAGCTTTAGCTCAGTGAAAACCCGAATGCAATTTGTAAGCTTTCTCAAAACCTAACAAAGTTGGACTGTATAACTGTAATAGCAATTCAAATGATTTATTTTCCCGAAGCACATGTATATTACATGTCATTTGGTAAGTTTTACTTCCGGTATGGTATTTAAGTAAAATTACATAAAAATACTAGCTCTCCATCTTCCACTACAATTTAATCGACTCGTTGTAGCTCTCTCGCCGCTACTGCTCAATGCCATCGAGTTGGTTGGCTCAGCGCTAATAGCTGTTCGTGAGTATATATCTTGTTGTCGTTCACGACCCCTCGATATTCTTAGTAAAATTGCCGCGCCTAATGTCTCAAATTTTAACTTCGGTTTGCCATTTTCGAGTTGTTTAAAGTCTCGTCGTTCTCGGACTTACGATGCTTCTCTATATATCTTCTGCGCGCTGTTAGTCGCATATGCTCTTTGCGCCGCTGAAGTATGACTTCTCTTTCAGCGGGTGACTTTGAGAAACGTCCACCGAGACTCGAAGGCTCCTCTCCACTGCACAAATAATGATAAATTGATAGTACAAATTGATAGTACTACAAATAGGTAAGAAAATACTTCCATTCTCGCAGTAACATGGCCAAGTAAGATTATCGTATAATACTTTGTACTTTGCAACATCTTGCTTACCTGTCGGCAAATGGAATATCGAGTCTGGGATCTGACGAATTTTGGACTGAAGAACTGGGCACGATATTCGTCATAGCCGTTTGCGTTGGGACGGATTCCGCTTGTGGCTCCTCGATTAAATGATGTGGAACAGTTAATATCCCATCTAATATATTCTCAACTGTCCATTCGACCGACCGGGTCATTCTGAGATTCTCGAGAATCACGTTGCGAGGATAATGAGGGAAAAGTTGCTGCACCTAGTGAAGAATTTTTTCTTTTTAATATTTAGCTACCAGTGCGTAATGGACAAATTAGAATTAGAAAAAGCACACAATTTTCGTCAGATAGTCTCTATAAAATTACAAAAAAAAAAAAATAAATAAATTTTGGAAGATATTTTATAAATGTCACACAAGATGTTTAATCATTTAAGATCTTCACAAGAAAGTTTAAAGTGTTACTTGTCTCGCCATAGCATCCATCTGGGAATTGGTGTGTGTCATTGTAGAGATGTTGCCGCGCAATCTATTGTGCGAAACTTCGACGGAGAAACTAGGCAACCAAGACACGTATCTCGACCCGTCGAAATGGAAGAAATGATTGTCGTTTCTTCTTGCGGGTGTCTGCGGTTCCGGTGGCATTTCCGGAGTGTTCTCTCGATGATTTGCTTGCATGCTCAAAGGTAGTCGGCAAGTAGGGCACGATGTGTCCTGTTCTAACCAGGACTGCAAGCACGAATTGTGAAACAAATGAGCGCAGGGTAACTTACGAGCGCTGTCCATTTTCTCCCAACATATCGCGCAATTATCAGAATTGCCCGCTAACTCATCTTGCGATGCCATGGGGTAACTAAAAATAGAAAAAAAATTAGTCACTCTTTAAAGAACTGACTCACTTGATAGATAGTTTACATGTAAACTATTGCGACGTAAAAACCCGAAAAAGGAAAATAAAAACGCAAAAATTACTCGAAATTGTCGTCCTGACTTTAAATCATCTTAAGCCATATTTCTCGCACACAGGCGCGTACAGAAATTTTTTTATTTACGTACTTTTGTTCCATGTGATTCAATACGGCCAAATAGTTCCTATGTTTAGTAATCCTACGCTGTATTTCGTAGAACAGATATCTCAGCTGCATACAAATCACCAATGACGCCATGCTCAGAAAAATGTTGCTCCACAAGAGCATGTGAACATGATGAAGAAAGTCGACCGCTAGTACGATTAATTCTGAGGTCAAATCCGTGTAGTAGGTCAAGGGACCGCGTTTGTCCCAGGAGCGTTGCGCTGAAGTACCAGCACCACGTGTGTCATATAGATGAATTACATAGCGTATTATCACGTGTATAGTACGGACTCCGAGTAAGATGCACTGCGAAGTGAGAGAAAAATAATTGTACAGGTTTGAAATTTTCAATCGTTCGCATTTAAATCAGAGAAAAAGTCGGCCCAAGGTCAAACGTTGACGTCGTGTCTCCGAATTTGTTCTGTTGGAATTTCTTTATCCTTTCTTTTGTTATGCGCGATATAGATATTCGACTAGTGAAGGTCAAAAGCGGAACGTTCGGGACCGCTGCTTTAAGTCAGATAAATATAAGTGGAACGTCGTAACTTTGACTTTGAGTGTTTTATCCGCTCCGCTATACGTGAACAAGTTTACGTTCGCCGGCCAGCTTATAATAGCATCTTCAGACATATGAGCTGTTTATTTCGTAAGCGGTAGAGCACATTTTAAAACCTCGTATCTTCACGCGTATTATACACTCGAGAGTTTAATTTTTCAGATCTTATTTATATATTCGTTTTCATTTTTTATATATAGAGTATATATAGAGTACTCCGCAATTTACTATATCGAAGATGTATTACCTCAGATGCCATGAAAGCGAAGGTATTGAAGGATACGAAGAAAAAGACTGCAGCGATGCAGAATAGAAGCATGAAGGAAGATAGCGCAAAAATCGCCGCCAACAATCCAAGAAGACGTGCATGACTCCATCCTGGTGTGGTAGGCGAAAAAGACAACTAAAACCAACAAATTAAGTATTCCATTGTTTACTCTTCCTTTTTTGTATCCCTCGGATATTTTTCTTTCAGCTATCGAAACAAGTATTTCTACGGAACTTCTTTCTCTCTCTCATTTTTTAATATGACATTATATTATTGAACTGTTATAAAACTACTGACTTAAAAAGATATTAGGAATATAATAATTTTCAACGATAATTTACGACGATAATGTATTCGGAATAATAAGAAAGCGATAATCACGTACAAGTAATGCAGGTAGAGAAACAAAGAACAAATAAACATGAATTTATGTACATGTAAAACTTCTGCTTTATCGGATCGGATAGTTTCGCATATTTGAATAATCATTTTATTATACTCACATATTCAAATCGATCCTTACAGAGTTGGCTGAAAAGGCTCAGAAAGCCAAGTGCCGTAAACCATGCCCCCCAGAGCAGAACCTCGTTCATGTACTGGACGTTCAAGACGCCAAATACAAAGATGAATTTGTAAAAGATAAAATTCCAAAACTTATCCTTCAAGTGTTGTGTTTCAGAGGCACGCAGCTCTCCGAACACCAGCTTCTGGATGAATTTGCCGAGGAGAATCAGCACACAATAAGCCATGTTGATCAAAGTCTATAAAGGAGAAAATTGTGAAAAATAACGTGAAAAATAGAACGTATCGTCTGTGTTAGACGCTATATTAATTATAACTATATTAATTACAAGTGATTGTAACGGCTAATAATATTTGCAATGTTTTATGCAAACATCAAAAATCAACTACTTGATACTCGATCGACAGTTTTATCGATAGCAATTATCGACGTACACGCAAAGAAACCGCATACTGGCAAAGCAACCTCAGTTCCGAAACTTAATGAGTAGAATTCATTAAACGTTGACCTAACATCCGAGCTAATTATTTAAAAGAGTACTGTTATATGCGTATTAAAGTAAAGTAAAGTAATAAGTCAACAGATGGGTAAATACAGACAAAATATTTATGTCAAAATAAAAACACTGTCAATAACGATTATAAAAATATGAAGAAATAAATTAAGCAGATTATATAAATATGTTGTATCTTGTCAATATAACATGTATAAAGTTCATATCGTGAGATGTATAGTTCATACGTACAAACCAAAATTTATTAAATTGAAACATTACACATTTATTGGACTCACGTGATATTTAATCTGAGAAAGAGCCATTTCGAAATTTTGCTCTTTTCTGTTAAGAAGGAAAAGAAGTAAATGTTGAAGTCTTTTAAAAGAATTCGAGATTACACGTTAATTTTCTGATAAAAGGTAGAAGACGTTCCGCGATACTTACATTCTAGATGACAGACAAACGAAATAACTATTGTTTAATCGTTGCCAAACGGTAGAAAGGCCATCTAATTTTAGGTTTAAACATTTTTTGTTTCAATATCCTGCCAAGTATCTCGAGCGACACGAGGAGGCACTTATCCAAGGTATAGATCGCTATGAAATCTTAATGCGTAAAATCGCACTGAAATCGAGAAATAATTCGACAGAACTATGCGTCTTCTCATTCTAATTCTAACAAAAAGAGTTACATCAACCAAAGTTTTTTATTATGTAAATTACGTGTTTGTCAGTCCCGTTGTCCACAAGAATGTGTTTTAACCACATATCCTTTATCTTGCAAATTTTTCGATCAATTTTTAGCTGCTTTTTTTCTCTATAACAATGTTGAAACATCATTGTGATATACTCCAAGTGATAAGAAATTAGAAACAACCGTTTGAAAATTTTATTTCAAACTTGGTAACGGATAATAAATATTCGAGGACTTTTTATTAAAAAAAAAAAACATATTATATAAAACTTTAACTTAAACTTTGATTATTAAGATATCTAATATAAAGAATTGTTTGAAAATGTGAGAAAGATTTATAAGATTGTATCTTGAAATAATAGAAATTAATCATACAAAATATTTTTGTGTTTTACATTTTCATATACAGTGAATCAACTTCTTTTGTCCATTATATATATAAAAGTAGACAAGTACAATCAAACAAAACCGCAATACGATATTTATTACCTGTTATTGATTCGATAAAAATGCAAGAGAGGAAGCTATGCATATGAAACAAAGATTTTACACGGTGTGCGACACGTATTGTTGAATACTTACAAGCGTATTATATTAATAATATTTTCTTTATTCATCATATGTATAAAAAAAATAAGAAGGCTATAGAAAGCCTAATTAATTTTCATTAGCGACTATTAGCGCAACAATAAGAAAGATGCATATGAAGTAGTACGTTTTTACACATTACATTAGCATATTGTTGAATATTCATAAGAAAACATTGCCAACCTCGTAGTATGTCGAAAAGTTTCTTATTGACTTACAACATTATTTACTATAGCCCAAAGTATAACATAAAGATGCATTAACTCCATTGCGGAGAGATTATTTAAGTAAAAGAAAAAGTCAGATAAGGTTTCCAAGCGATAATAGCGGGCAATAAATGAACAAGTAATTACACGCACCGATTATCCACGGCCATATCTTAAATTCTTCTTAAATATCTTCAATTAAAGATCTTTCCACCGACCGAATTTCTTTTTATCAAAAATTACATATGACATTTGTTTGTGCAAAAACATATTACGAGCTTCTCCTGGCCTGAATATAGTGCCACGCAAAATCAACTTGGAACATGTGTTCATTCGAGGGGAACAATAGCCACGAATAATCACGCGATGGTTGCGTAGCCGTGCAAGACGTTCGTAACAGAACACGTAATGCCATAATACATGAGGAAAGTAACGCATTTGTACTGCCGCAGACCGACATCGATTTTCCTCTTCTTCTTCGTTCTATATAGGAAACTTGGAACGCGATATCGGGACGAGTGCCATTCTTTTTCCCACCTACTCTTCTCTCGACGAAAGTGGCTCCTCTATCTTAAATATATTATATCGATTTTTACGTAAACACCAGAAAATACATATATTTCGTCACGATAAATCGCAACTTTGGTAGAAGCAGTATACGGCATATCATGCACTTCGCAACTGTAGTTTTCATGACGAACATTCGGATCAATTTGAACTGCGTTTCAACGAGAGAAATCGATAGTTGTTGAATTATAATCGATCAAAGATGAAGAGGTCCAAGCTTCAAAGATGCGTACAAAGAGACATTGATCTCATTCTTTATTAAGTTTTAATTGATCTAAAATAGGTTTAAAATAGGCTCGAAAATAAGTTGGTAATTAGCGGAAGCTTATGATAAATTTTGTTGATTGATTTATATACACATACATTTTAACTGAGAAAAAATGTCGATTCCATAAACTGATCAATGACTATGAATTTATGAGTGAAAGGTGCTACGTTAAATCTGAGACAACTTATTACATTACTTTGTACACACACATGTGGATTAGAGGACGATGTGATTTACATTCGTAACACAGGTAGAACTGCATAATGCGAGAGATACGAAGACGTAAACATAATTAGATGACTTTCCTTAAATGGCTCTGTCAACGTACTGACTTGCAGTTAAGACCACAATATGTAATTTTGCTTTCAATAAAAAGAACTATAAAAAGAAAAATCTTCTAATCAGAGAGATTATATTGAGTTTAGAATAATTACATAAACGCCAATCGATCAGTTTCACATTTCGCGAATTAAGATCGCGTAGAAAAGGTGTCGCTTATATATCTCTTATTCTGAGAGAGAAAGTATCTAAAAATTAGCGAATATATTGATTTGGTGGGTAAAATAGCAGCATATAAACTTAAATATAGTACCCATATTAATACCCACCACAATATCTCCTATTTCTTAGATATGTTTGTTTCTTAGTGTCTATTTTCGAATGAGAGACTTCAAGATCGACATACCCATGCGCAGACGGGTTCATCCATCATACATTCCAGGAGTTCTTTCAGATGCTTGCCGAAGCTCCTTGGATCAGTCGCGTCATCCCGGATGTCAGTGTTAACACTCACATCGACGTACGTGTGATTTGTCCTCCAAGCGGGATCCTTGATTATCTGCGCGGCATAATATATGGAGCAGGACAGCACGGCACAGCTTATGGTGGTATAGACGCGTAGGCTGGGGAGCGGAAACCGCTCCAGAAATTCCATCGGCATGATCGGTAGGACGTTGCAGTCTCTCTGGTAGTACCTCCCGGATCTGGAGCGGACAAATTCAAGCGATATTAAGCCGATACCGTGAAATCGGTTCGCTGGCCGGTAAAACGGGTGGTTCCCCAACGCGCTGCGCTAACGCGACAACGCGGGGTAAACTCACAAAATGTCATGACAGCTGGACGAATGTCGAGAAACAAGCCGCGTGTAGAAACTAGTCGCGTCGTAGTCTCGACTCAAGCGATGCAAGCGCGTCGCGAAAACGCAACGTACTTCGTAGCAATCGCGATCGCGACGCGACGTAAACGCGACGCGACGCCGACGCGCGGACTATCACGCGTTTGCACGGAACCGCGAACACGATCGAATGCGACGAATCCACGTCGCGTCGTCGTTTGCTACTACATATTGCCACGTAATGCATACGTGAGAAGCACGCTACGCTACGTTATGCACGCCGGTGACTCTACATTCTGCATTGTATTCAGCGTATGCGTGCACGACGAAGAGGAGCGAGAGATCCCTTCTCGAAAGTCAACCCGTCCCGACGTTTCCTTTCCGCCCAAATCGCCTCGTTGCCGTTGCCGAATCGGCGCGGCGTGTTATCCTTGGCCCACCCAGCACACACGTCCATGATAAAAGTATCAAGGCAAGGTCAGTGGAAAAAAAATTGATACCTTGCGAAATTCTTTCGCGTATCGGAGGACACCTCCAAGTGAAATATGGAATAGCTCGCGAAATAATTACTGCGCGATAACTTCATCTTGGTATTTTTCTATGCTAATTGGAATTTGACTGCCTTTACGAAACAAACAATATGTTATTGCATTACATGAGTTATTACATGAGTAGAATGTTACATTAATACGTCAGATATAGTGCGTTGATATGTTAGGGTTATCTCTTTTTCATTGTTATCTCCATAGTTTTGAGATAAAACTCAATACTTTCTTCCAAGTAAGCAATAGTTTCTTCCAAGTAATTCCAAATAATTCTTTGGTACCTCAATAATCATGCACCGAAAAAAAAAAAACTTCATCGCGGCCGTCGATTATAGTATAGCAATGTTACGCGCAGACATACGTTAACGAGAGAAAGCGCAGCATGGAAATTATATTTCTTTATCGTAAAATCTATGTTATAAAATACGTTCTAGGAGAAATTGCAGTAAATACATGTGACGTTATTTTTAGCTGCACGTATTTCAAGCTATGCTCTTTTACGTCGAATTGATGACAATTTTTTTCGTGCCGATAGTGCGAACATTGGTTATCTGAACAGCAAACACGCTTTCCAATCCACATATTACTATCAAAATTTTCAAATCGTAATTTTCAAAAGGCTAATTACACATGTAACAGATAATATTGTGGCAGTTCATTTTTAAAAATCATAAGAATGAAACAATTAAAAGAAACGGATGAAGTTTTTCATTTACGAAATATATATTCACAAACTCGAAATCAGTAATTTATTTATTTATTCGTCACGTTGTCCTTGCTTTCGAAATGCACCAACTGGTTTTATGATAAATGTTGACAAGGCCCGCGTAAATAATAGTCCATTAAAATATTTTTACGATTAACAACGACATTTTAACAGGTGATTCTCTGATTAATTTAAAATCAATTTTCTTCTATAAAGATATTTAAAAAAAATTGTTATTTATCGTTATTCATAGACTAATATTGCTGTGCGAATTTTGAGACATTGTGCAGAATATTTCTGTATTATAAGAAAATATCGGAATATACTTTAACATTTGGATAACTTTATAATGTTAAAATATTATTTTAGTATTTTAATATAATATTAAAGATATTCTAATCATTCCATTGTTCCATTCAGTGGAAATGTCGAGACAGAGAAAGAGAAAGAGTGATAGGTGAGAGAGAGGAGATTTTCCCTTCTAGATCGGTCAAATTTCACGTTGCATACGCGGTCCTCAACGATACCCGACGAACGTCTATGGACACGTTGTGTCGCAGGTAGAAAGCGCCTTTCACGCAAAGTCGGCAAAAGGGTTAACGCGAACGTGTCGCTTCCTGCGAGGTGCACGAGCAGCTGCTACACGATAAATCGATTCGACACAACGCTTCTACCTGTGTCCAATTCGCGTTTGTTTCTTCGCTTCTTTACACTTGTGATTCGTGCATTTCGGCCGCATTTTTTAGCTGTTATACATTTAGAATACGTAAAAATACGCGTGAGCACATTTAAAGGAAAGAAACACGCAGAGGGGAGCAAAATGCGGCAGAAGACGATGCAGCGTTAAAACGCTCGAAATACGTAAATTACTCACCTTCTGCGGCTAAGGTTGAAAGAACCCTATCCCTTCGAATAGGCTACGTAACCAACATCACTGACGTTGTCGTTTGTCTCACTTCTGTGCACTCGTCACTATTCGTCGCTGAAACTCCAGGTATATTCCTGGTTCACGCCGGTGATGGTTGTGCGCGACAAAAAAAAAAGAAAACGCCGGTTTGAGCGTAGCGAAACGAGGCGGAAGGAGATCCTGGAATTATAGGGGGAAAATGAAAGAGGCAGACGGAGAAAGGAAGGAGTAAGACGAATCAGAGATAGGCAAATAGATAGATAGGTCGGTAGGTAGGTAGATAGATAAGTAGGTAGGTGAATAGGTAGTAGGTAGGTAGGTAGGTAGGTAAGTAGGTAGGTAGATAGATAGGTAGGTAGGTATATAGATAGGTAGGTAGATAAATAAATAGGTTGGTGAATAGATAAGTAGCTAATCAGGTAATTAGATAGGTAGACAGTAAAAAGAGAGAACAGGGAGAGAGAGAGAGAGAGAGAAACAGGCAGAGTATGGCTTCCGCGGTGTCTCCTCGTTGCACAGGCTTCACGATCACGTTTTATGTCTTCGCGCACACACGAAGATCTCTTGCTGAGTACGTCCTAGGCGACTCGGCTTATACGTCGCCGCTATCGTGTAGTTCGCGTATGTCTACATCGTAAACGTATCGTGAAATTTCGATACAGACCCGCGGAGCCTGACGCAATACGGACGCGCCGCATCGATCTACATACGGGAGAGGAATAATCTCACGATGTCATAAACACACCCGCGACGGATCCGCCGCGATGTGCGCGACACGGAACGTTTCGACCGCGGTTGCGACAGACACCGACATCACTCGGTGACGGTCGAAAAGTCAAGGGAACGTTACGTGACACCGACATCATTGAGTGTCAAAAGATGTCGCTGATATATAGAAAAATGCAACTAGCTAGGGTTTTACCTAGTGAGAAACAGACGGTTATTTCATTGGCTGCATGTTATCTTAAGATGATATGCAGCCAATGAAACGGCTCTGGGTAGCGATTCTTAACGTCATGCGAATGAAATGCGCATACGAAAATCCTATATATAGTTCACATTAAGTATACTATGAATTTTCGCGTCTTGTGTGCAGAAGCCATAAGTGTCTCTAACGCCTAGCTCTGATCACTAAAATCAAGCTGGTAGCCGCTCTCAAGCTTCTTCTGATTGTACTCTCCCCGTGCGGGTGTATATCAGTTGGACACGGGGCAATTGGACACAGTCCAATCACAAGTCGCTGTTCCAAGGGACCCTACAAATGTCTCTAATCATACGGTGTTGTGATTGGCTGTGTCCAAATGCACCGTGTCCAAGTGCACCGCTCCCTCCCCGTGCTACTCGCGAAGAAAGTTTACGGTATGAACTAGAAAGCTAGAATACGATTGAGATAGTCGATATGTCGCAGAGGATACATAAGTCCTTTTTAACTGTACTGTGTGTACTTTTCAGCCAAGAGCACAGGGGCCCGGTTCTTGACGATATGCGAATGACATATGGCTTCTGCACACAGGACACGTATGCTTGCCACGCGGCGGAAGTCCGCACGACAGCCAATCAATGGCCGCGTTCAGTAGAACAAGTGATCAGTAAGCGCTCAGTGAGCTCTTGCATCTGATTGGAGTATAGTTGGAGATCTAAAAGAATATGCCAAATCATATACAAGAGCTCCCTGAGCGCTTACTGATCACTTGTTCTACTGAACGCGGCCAATGTTTTTCCGTAAGAGCTAGAAGGTTATTACGGAAAGCAGCATATTGATTGGCTGTCGCGCGAACTTTCGCCGCGCGGCAAACATTACCGCATCCTGTGTGCAGGAGCCATTACGCTATTTCTTTCTCCATCTGAACGCACCCCAAGGATTTCTAGTGCCTAGCTCTGGCCATTGAAATCAGGCTAGTGGCCGCTCTGATGCTTTTCTGTGGTTCATTCGTGTGCTTCCAGTTGCGAGAGTAAGGTGGTATTCAACGAGAAAAGATTGTTTATTAGTGAAGAGCCAATAATTGCGTATTAACTGTTGAAATGGCTCAGCAAAGTGCGATTGTGCAAACATCCAATACCGGCACAGACATCACACCTGTGCTAGGAACTCTGCAGTCTGTAGGACCTAATAGTCAGACTTCACCGGTTCTGCCTAATATGCAAACAAACGTGACAACGACAACCACAGTACAACCACAGCAAACACAATCCCAACAAACACAATACGTGTCACAGCCTACGAAGCAAATGCAAGTACAGCAATCACAATCGCAACAACCGGCGCCCCAAACGCAACCACCGCCGCAACAACAACAACAGCAACAATCGTCTACCCCGAGTTCTTTCAGTGATTTCCCACAAGTATGTAATCATGTACATCGTGAAATTTGATTTGTGTATATCTCTCATAAAATTAAACATTGGAAACTTTACTTTTCAAACATCTTACATATATAATGTTGTTTTAGTTCTTAACAAAAACAAGGTTAGCAGATTTAGTAAAGGAAGTAGATCCTACTGAACAACTAGATGAGGAAGTAGAAGAGATGCTTTTACAACTGGCAGATGACTTTGTAGAGACAACAGTGAACGCAGCTTGTCTATTAGCCAAGCATCGTCATGCAAATACAGTGGAGGTTAAGGATGTACAGTTACATCTAGGTAAGTTATCGCCATGTAATTACAAAACATTATTTTCCAACTGACAAGAGAACGTTCTATCAAAATATAACTATTAATCTTTACAAAGTAAAAATTTCTATTTTCTATCTAATAAACAAAATAAATAAAACAAGGCAGAAAATTTCTTTAATAAACTACTACAGGAATATTATAAATATAAAATATATATATATATATGTTTATATTTTTAGAAAGGAATTGGAACATGTGGATCCCTGGTTTTGGTACTGACGAAGTACGTCCATACAAAAGAGCCACTGTCACTGAAGCACATAAACAAAGATTAGCGCTTATACGGAAATCCATCAAGAAATATTAATTCCTTCATGAGTCACATTTGGTTAATTATTTTTTTCAGGTTAAATGATTGTATTTTATACATTTTTCACATATACTGTTGCTGCTTTTGTAGTTCTGATTCCTTTGTGATAAGAATGTTAATCTTTTCACTACAGTAAAGTATCATCTATAATATAGTTGCATCTATAATACAAGTATAAAACGCAATTGCGACTATATTGTAGATGACTCTAAAAACCCGATCGTAAAGTGACGATTTGTGTTAATATGATATGAAATCGTTTCGTTGTCGATCGATTATAGTCACTCTCAGTACCTAAAGTATTTAATGATACCTTATATAGTATTTATATAGATCTGGTTTTTTTTTCGTAGTGAGGATGACAGTAATCGCCGTTAATAACGAAAAGATTAATATCGTACACGTGTTTCTCTTTGGCACACATTTCAATTGTTATATGATATTATAAAAAAAAATAAAAGTGCGTTTGTTATTAAAACTGCAGATATTTTTTAAGCTTATAATGTAGTATTTACATATTTTAATGTACGATGCGACTAGTAATATGTGATTCAGATCATTTTTTTAGCTCTCTAATTTCTCTTACATATTTCTGTATAAAGATATCACGTACAAAATTATCCACGAAATTAAGGCAAGTTATAGCCCCAGTCTCATCAAAAATAGAAAAGCTGACAGGTCGAGAAAGGATTTTCTGACTTGCGTGAGACTTTTGTACAGTAGAATGTAAAGTACAAAGCAGTACGCGAGGTCTTGAAGGGACGAAGAAAGAGTTAGGACAACGTTTTTTTTTTTGCGAAATACTATTTAGAAACGCAGAATATGTTGTAAATTATAGAAACGGTCTCGTACAGATATCACGCGCGAAAGAATAAGCCGTAACAGCGTATCACTCACTCGCAAATATAAAGACCATACAAATATAAAGAAAATGTTCGCAAGCTGATTCGCACACAATGTGTAGCAGGTATTAAAAATATATAATTATCTGTTCGTACGTGCGCGCGCGCGGCCTATCATATATATTATATATATATATATATATACGTATGTTTTTTATATATCATTATACATAATAATTCAGACAGCGCTGATACAATGTGTTATCGAGAGCGCGTTGTTTGTTCTTAATTAATCATCCGTTTATTACACTATATCGTCGATGATATTATTCGCTGGTTTTTGAAATATTTCGTTCTCTATTATATGATATTACAAGTTTCGACAAAAATGCGCTTAGAAGTCGAGATTTTTTAAATCCACAAAACATGAAACAATTAACACATAAACTCGAATTTACAAGGGCAGCTATTAATCGCAGTGTTGGCAGCCAAAACGATCCATCAGAACAATCCGATTTCTTTCTTGAGATTCACTTGTTTCCAAATTGGAAGCTGTTGAAATTCTTCTTTGCTCATCCCCAGTAGCTCCTGGATCAGACAAAAATATGCAAAGAAAATGTAATTAGAATAGGAAAACTTATCTCTCTTGTCTTGTTTAAAGATACGAATTCATTTTCTAAATATTTCATAGTGTTAAACACCTACGTCCTACATACGAGAAGTGTCTAACATACGTCTATAAGTCACGACTAATCGATACTAACTTGAAAGTGTTGTTGAGATAAGTATAACTCCAAGCGCGTTGGATCGACTCCGTCGGGCAAAGGTCTTTGCAACAGCTGAGCAGGAGGATATGTGCTTTGTGTCAGACGAGCCAGTTCACTTTCTACGGCTAATACCTCTCCTAGATTTCGGCCATCCTGATGATAAGTTTAACGAGTATACATTGAGCCACATACGCCACACATTTCAATGCATTTGTTGAAATGCAATCATATGGACAAGATACAGAAAAAGTGGGGCGATTTTCGCATACCTCTATATTCAACTCAGCAACGTCGTCCCGATACGTCCACTCTGGAAAGAGATTTATAAATTGCAAGGGCTCTAAACCAGCCCAAATTAAGTATATAGGAAGATTCGTCGTTTGTGCGCTCCGAGTGTTTCGCCAGTATCGTATTGCTGTCGTCATTGCCGCTCTTCTTTCTGCCTGCCATCGGACAGTCTTGCTGCCGGACTGATCCTCCGTACTGCTATCAGGCCACCATCCTTGCCAGATCCAAATCATATCCTTGTCATCCAATAAAAATAAGGCTGGAAATTTTAGGATATTTTAAATTATGTATCCTTGGTCTAACTACCACAACGAAATATCGTCTTCAAGAGCGTCGCACCTGGCTGGCTCGCTTGATACAGATCGTCCTGCGAGAAAGGAAACGGTGTCGCAAGATCTGCGCGATGCGGACAGAGTATTTCCGTTGCGCGAAATATTTTGAAAATACTTGATAAGTGGTAGAGCCTTGGTGTATAGTCCTGCATCTGAGCCGTCTCCAATGACCAATATAGTTTCTTATTCATGCCACCTAATGCTGTAAAATATTAAGTATCACAGATTTAATCAAATTTTGTAAGTTATTAATGTCTTAAATTAGGAATATAAAATTTTATATTTTATATACTCAGAACATATTTTTTTTACATCGGGAAACTATATTATAAAAAAATAGTAAATTACAGAATATCTTGGAACATTTTACATTTCAATTTTCCAAGTTATGTTGATCAGACATTCTTCGTTTATTTCTGCAAACATGTTACACGTTTTCAATTCCTTTTATCTATTTTTCTTCTAGGTTATTCTACAGAAGACTAAATTTTAACAATGGACGCGCATATTGTGTCTTGTGTGTGCACCCAGTTTAAGCTTAATTTAAATTTAGTTTAACTCGGATTTTAAATCTTCCCCAAATTTCACTCACCGTTCCTAAATTCCTCCGGTTCCGAACCCTCTTGAACTTCGCATATCTGCACACTGACTTCGTTCGATAATCCGGTTTCTTCGGGTCGGTTCTCTCTCAATTTGTTCGCAGCACTCAATGCATTCTACAAAAGAGATAAGGAAAAGAATGAAAGAGAGCGAAAAGAAGTGAGGCGGAGATGAAGGTAGGCAAATAAAGAGGAAAATAAAAAGAGAAAAAGAAAGTGGTTAACAGATAAGAAAGAGAAGCAGAACAAAGTAGGAAAAAAAAGAAAAAAAACGAGATCTATCGCAATCTATTATATTCATTTCGCGTATACGTTAATTATAACGTTATAAAAATTAATGGAAAGTTTACCTCTCTAATGTGACGCAATGAATTATTTCCATGCCAAACGTACGCTTTTGCATTTTTGGTGTCCAGCAACACGAAGGAGCTTCTACTTCTTAATTGGCGAGTGCTACAAGAAATTTCGTTCAAATATGTTTCAGATTTCAAAGTACCTCGACAAATGTACAATTTCCATTGTTTTTCGCTCCTGTTCTCGGACTTTTTACCGCTGTGTACCATCATTCCTCCGGAGAATAAATTCAAAAATGCGGCCGGTTCATGTCCTTGGACAACGTGAATCTGCGAATATCATATTCAATACAATATTAAAAAACGTTTTATAAAGAAACAATAAGTTTAATGATGCTGCTATTTGACATTACTAAAGTCCCATCAACGTCCTTAAAAGTCGATTAAATTTTAACCTGAGTTTAAGTTTTTGTCTAAAGAGTTTAAACTCAAATTAAGACTTAATCAACGTTGGTGAAATCGAATATAAGTAGGTCTTTACCTGAGGTCCTCGTTCGCTGTCTAATTCGACCGTCAGCAATGCCGCGGCACCTCGTTCGTTCAAAGACGCGTGTCGGCCTTGCCAAATGAAATACACCGATCTGTCGCGACCTTTCGCCGAATGTTTCGACGGCAGGCCACTGAGCTCTCTGCCTACTCATATAAAAAAAAAAAAAGAGATAAAATACGTAGAGGCAAACGCATTTCATTGACGAAGTTACTACTATAAATCGCTTCAAAAAGCTATATTTAAGAGAAATCGAGACTATTTAATGTCACGAAACTTTCCTTAACCATTCCATTATTCCCAAACCATCTGAACTCTAGAATACTGGGAAGATGATTTTATAGCGCAGGGAAACTGAAGATAAAAGGGAGCATGCCGTTTTTCTTTATTTCAATATAAAATTCGTAAAATTTACTTACGTTTTTCCGCGGGTACAATAATGCGTCTGTAATGCGCAATTGTACTTCTTCGAAACGGAACTATATGTTCTTTTTTACATAAACAGTTTCCTTTCGTCATTCTACGTATAAAAGTATTAAGATTAAGTGTTAAAATATTTAAGAGTTGTCGAAAAGAAGTGAGTACTTTTATTATTTTAGTATGGATTACGATGGTTTGGAAATAAAATAAAACTTTCGACTTCGCAAAGCCAGTTCAGTAATAGGACTCACCGGTGATCGTGACGGAGTACGTCCATTGGACGATATAACTATCACCAGAATAAAATTGACCGATCGACGATCCATCTAAGAGCGTATGCGAGAATTCATCGATATGCCACACCATTACGCTGGTCGTAGTAACTATATAGTCCTTTTTCAGCTTAAATCAAACAAAGTCATCCATCAGCTGCGATTTTATGTGCAAAAGACACAACGGAATTGAAGTACATGAGGAATAGTTCATTGTCAGAGATAGACCCGGAGTGAGTGTTGCTGAACCGATTCGAACATTATGAATATACGTATAGTTGACCGTAAAGTTACCTCACTGTCGTAGCAACCGGTACCTCTACCCAGATGACAGCCTTCCAGTACGAAATCGACCGGGGTGAGGTTCGGCAGCCATATCTCATCGCTATCGTCCAGTTGCACGGTCACGGCACCGTCGATCTGTCGTATGTCGTCCTTCCTGCCGCGCGCCTTAATCACACTGGCGCTGTTAGGCCAATCGAGGAACTTCTCTCGAAAGAGTACCGTTTCGACATGCTGCGTCAACTTGGCAAGCAGGCACCACCCGGGCCTGCTCTTAGCGGATTTGACGAGCGAGCTCGCGCGCGTATCACCGCCTCGACCGCCGAGCATATTGGCTGCATTGACGGGACAAATGGTGCATTCGGTATAATCATATCCGTCGTTCCACATTTCCGTAGCCAGCTGCGTGACGAGCTTCTTGCTGTCCGTCGAAACTCCCTTACCGCTCCAGATGTACATCTCAGTGCCGAAATCAAACACCAGGATCTTCGCAAAGAAATAATGTGTTATGCAACTTCTCGCTCTGTGATTCGCAGTCTAACACACACAAAATCTAGACATTTTTCTACTTTACTAAACAAGCATTGGAACAAAAACTGGATTATCGTAAAAATTCAAAACGCGCTGCAGAACAGAAAATATATTTCAAGTTACTTTATTTTGGTCGAGCATTTCTATTTTCGGAAGTGTGCCCCAAAACTGCTCATAAGGCATCAGCTGCTTATCCTTTAATTCGTACACCATATTCGTGTCAATGATAGCGGACTCATACAACTCATCTTCGTCAGGATGACCAGATCCGATAACTACAGTATTAATAAAATGTCATGTTACAACAATTCTGTTTAGTCAAGTTAATTTTACATTAATTTTAATAATCTTTCTCCTCTTGCTTGTTGCATCTCATTATCAAAAGTATTTTTATTCATTTTCACGCATAATCTATTGAGATATATACATGGAAATGAGAAGATATTTACTAAAATGCTAATACAAGCCCGCGAGCACGCAAGACAACGTACCATTGTGCTTCTCACTGTCGAGTACACCAAGATAACTCCAAAACTTTTGCACCTGACTCCTTGTGCATGTCGGTTTATCCTCTTGTATGGTGATAACTTGTTCCGCCTGACAGCCGAGATCTTTCTTCTGCAGGATACACGACGCAATCTCGGTGGCGTGAGTTCTCTCAATGATATTGCTATATCTTCCTATATAGTTGAAAACCTACGATTTGTCGGGAGTTAGTCTCAGTAGCGACGCTCAGCGAGCAACAGCGGCAAGCGGAGAAAAAGTCAGCAAAGAATACAAGCGTACGTATTTTACACAAACATGATTTTTCTCGAACACATAGTTCATCGCACGTATGCGCCGACTATTTGGTTCGTTTTACCGAATAATCGATACACTCCTTACTAGTCATGAGATCGCCTCACTTGATCGTTCAGAGAACGAGAATCAGTTAACGTACGTATTCTCTGTTATATCTACCTGCAGAGTCAATTATTACCTCTGATTTCGTCACGAGTATATAATTATCACCGCTATTGATGCACTCGGCGACAGGCTCTACCAGTCTGGCTTGAACGTGCCGTCTTCCTTTAACCAATATCAGCATTAAGTCTTTGTATGGCTGCAGCTTATTCGTGGACACGCTCGTTTCCGTCACATTTCTCAGAGTTACCGCACTAAAATCCTCAGTGGAAGCCAAACCGGCGAGAGCTTCGACAGCGAAAGACGAGCTCTTAGCGACTGCAATATCATTTGAGAATTCAAGTCTTAATCGCAACTCAAGATGCATAAAATCCTCTATTCGTGCCGGAAAAATCTGATTGTTTCGGATGAAAAAGCGTGGAAATAAAATGAGAAATAAAGAGACAAGCCCACACAATGCACCCTTGTATCCTGATTAACTGATCTCTTCTTCCCATCTGATCCTTCACGGGAAGTAAAGGATCCAGATACTTATGAATTATGTTGTATTTGTAGCGTAGTGTGAAAACAATCAAATTTCGCCGTTGCGTAATGCTAGATTTTACTCACGTTTCTCTACGCTTATGCTCTTGATCGTCCTCGCGGTTATATTCGTGCGAAATTCGGTGTATTCTGATCTTAAATCGGTGCGCGCCGCGAGAGCTTTGAGAGGGTTTCTCGAGGTGACCCGTCGACGTTGCATTCGTATGTTCCGCTTTTGCGCTAATCTGTCGAGAAAATGGTCCGAGATATAGTTATAATCACATATACATACATACCAACGTATTTCGAGAACGGTTCTCCGAGTCCGTTATACACTCTCTTTATCTTTTTCGATTTTTTTTTCTTTTCACACATTTTCTTAAGTGATGTAAAAGCGAAAATTTACAATTCGGATTGCGGTGCAATTATATCGAAGTCGGTTTCACGTAAATCAAGACACTCGGTTTCACACTTTTCCAGCGACACACCGCTAAAGAAAGAGGTGAACGTTTCGTCGTCAGTTTTAGGCACTGAAACAGTCGGCGACATGACATGCTCCGTTTTACATTCTTCACCTATAAAGTATAATAAAGTAAGTTCACTAAATAAAAGAGTCCCTCGCGCGTGTATGCGCGTCGTATTAAGAGAAAACATTGCGCTTAGGCCGTTAAGTTTCTTTGACTGGAATACAGCGAGCTCACACGCGCTGTCCCAGATTTTTTTGTGCCGTGCAACGACGAGCAATCGTATCGGATCCGATACGTCGATATCGCGACACTTTCCGCGCGCTATTCCATTAGTCCTCTCGTTCTGGGACAGCGCGGATCCTCAGCCAGATGGAAAAAGCATTATGCGATTTTCAGCAAATATACCAACCGCTGTCGTCGCTAACGGGCTCAGAGAAGCTCATGCGCATGGCAGAGGACAAATCTTTGCATGGACTGGTAGGTGTCGATACCGCGCCATTTGCACATCCTGAAAGAATATCACCTCTTAATAATTTCTCATCTCGCTGCGTACGAATCGGCGAATAAATTGGTGCATTTGATTGATTAAATTCCTCGACAAGGATACTTATATCGTTTTAGCCGAAGAACACCGTGAAGATGTCGACTAAATAGAAACCCGTCTAGATCCGTGTCAATAGTCGTTACTTGAAACTTATCCCGTGTAAGATACTCGAGTCTGAATTTAAAGTCACATTTTTTAATTTGAATGCACCATTAAATTTTTTTAATCGCGATTCAATTAAAAAATTCGCATTTAACTCTAAATTGAAATCTGAGCATCTCACCTAAAGCAAGTTTTAAGTAACGGCTATGGATACTAAATATTCAAGACACAAACGAGCTGTTTCGCGGAAATTAATCAAACGCCTAAATTTATCAAACGTCCTCGGACGTTCAGCCGAGCGCAAGAAAAAGCCCCTTACCTTTGTCTTTCCTAGATTTAAACCGCTGCGGGCGCGGCACTTTCTTCTTCTGGTTAAAAATATTCGCCGTGAGCTCAGTGAAGAGCGGCGAGCCGGCGTCACTCGGCTGTGCCGACGTGCCCATTTTGCCAGCAACGGTGAAGTTGATTGCGTCGGGCGCGACTATCCTTCTCCTCCAGCCCTCCGTGGCGGACTCCAGTTTGCCGATGCAGTCCGCCAACACGCTCGACTTGATCGCCATGCTCTCCTCCGTGCCGACCAAATCGTAGCGTGTCTCGTCGACGTTGCTGCCGGCCACGCGTCGCCTCCAATTCGTGCTACCGCTGTGATGTAGCGCGGCCAGCCGGTCGGCGATACTGACGCTTGGCGTCTCGCTCGTCTCTATCGACGTTATCACTTGCGTGGCGCTGCGACACAGTCCCGGCAACGGGAAGCCGAGCCGTTGCTTTCGGTTCTCGTCGTCGAAGGCATGTTGGCTGACACTCTTGGCTAGCGAGTTGGCGGAAAATCGCGCGACATTATGTTTCTCCTCGCTGACGATGATGTTGTGTATCTCGTGACCGCCGGAGGACGACGAGGCGCGATCATTGTCGTCGTTGTCGTCGTCGTCGTCGTCGTCGTCCTCGTCCTCCTCACCAGCATCTTTTTCGTTGTCGTTCTCATCGTCGTCGTCGTCATCGTCATCGTCGTCGTCGTCATCGTCTTCATACGACGCTCGAGCAATTTTACCCAACGACGAATCGTCGCGTCTCTTGCGAGTGCACTTTACCGGCACGCGACTCGAGAGGATCTCGCTCTTGCAGTCATCGACTACATCGTTGTCGTTCGACAACGTGATTATCCGCGTGTCTTCGCAGGAACGATGCAAGCTGTGTCGCGCGATACTGGCCGTCGCGAAGGAACTGTCGAACTTTTCGCAGTGTCTGGTAGCGTCGCCGCTGGGATTTTGGCTCTCGGCAAGACGCACGTCTCCCTCGCTTCTCGATGTCATCGCGTCGACACCTGCGCTCTGAAGCGCGAGCCTCGAGTGGAGATTGCTTTTTAGAATAGAACGCGGATACGCCTCGGCGGAACTCGGCAGTGTCATCGTTGTTGTCGTTGTTGTCATCGTCGTCTGTTGTTCCATTGATTCCTCGCTTTCTCTCTTGAGCACCGACTTTATTAACTTCATACCTCGCAACTCCGGGCTCTTGGCACGCGACAAATTATGCGTTTGACCGACGGAGGTCTTGAGAATACTTTTCGGCACATCGTGATGTGACACGAGCAACGGCGAATGAAGCGGTCTCTGACATTCTTTCGAATATCCTGCAATACGGAGAAATGTATGCCAATTTAAAAAAACGTAAAAAAGATAAACAAATATACTATAAAAAACATTAATTTCCAGGGTAAGGCGTTTACGCGTAAATTATGATACTTTACGTGTAGACGTAAACTATCTATGAGATGTTCATTTATGTAGACAATGAGTAATCTATGAATGTACTTTGAAGCAAATGTATGGCTTGCTTAAAAATTAATTAAGAATGTATCTTTTTATTTAACCTGTAGAATCCTCATGTAAATTTACAAATATTATTTCTTAAATAATGTTAGAGTACATACAATTCTCTGATTACATTCTTACTTTCAGAGTTGAATCTACTAATCTGTTTCATAATGAAGTGAAAATTTCATGCAATTCTTTAAACGTTACATTTATAATTAATATACTCAAAGCAGATATTTAATTATTCTTTCTTGTATGTTTTAATATTATTTGCGACATTCTACATAATTTACATCGTCTACATAAAAAAAGACCATGTGCACATCGCGTGGACGATACGTAAACAATTCATGTGGAGATAATCTTGAAATCTACGGTGCGAAACTGTTAATTTCTTCGCCCGCGTACAATCGCCCTCTTTCCAATCATATTACGGATACCATCAGATATCCGTAGGACATTTCAAGCTCGTCGATTCCATTCAGTATGAAGGAAAATTACTTCCAGTTAACACTTACCTTCAACCGAAGTTTGCGGTTGATAATTCGTATTGAAAGGCGATACGCGAGACGCTACTTCCACCTCTTCCGACGTGATGGGCTGCGTTTTGTAACGAGTGGACGGCCGTCTCCTCTGCGAAAGCCTTTCCTGAGACCCAGTGTTATTCGTTTCCGCAGTGGAGGTCTTCTGGTCGAAGAGCCGTACGCGCTCAGCTAAACTCAGCTTGGACGGCTCGAGCTCGTCGTTAGATGACGCGCCTCCGGTGCCTAACGCCGCGGCGGCGTTACGTTGATTCTGCAGGACCGCTTCGCGCACCTCTTCGAAGGTCACCGGCTGCGTGTTGAATCTCTCGCCGCTCTGCACCTTGCGCTCGCGATAGCGTTGAACGCCATGTGATAATCGCAGCGCGCGCTGCGGACTGTTCTCCACCGTAGCGGTCGCCTTCTCCTGCAGTGCCTTGAAGTGCTGCGTCATTTTCGATACGCTGTTGCTACGACGAACGGCGTGATCCTCGCGAACGCCTTGCGCGTCCTGCAGCGATTCCTCCTTTTCGTTCCTCCTCGCTTCATTCTCGTCGGAGGTCCGTGCGAAAAGCTGCATCGACGCGAGATCGTTCGCGTCGATCTTGGCGAAATGTATATGCGAGTCCGTTTTGCTCCTCTCCTCCATGTCGTTTGCGTTGATTTGCTTCGCTTTACCAGCTTCTTCGCACGACAGCTTGGCCTCTTTGATCACGACGGAACTGGAAAGCACATGGAACACATATACTTGGAGTACGCACGGTAACGATAGCAATTGATGTTTGCACCTGACTAAATCGGTAATATTTGTCGAAAGTAAGGAGACGCGCACGGCGCGTCGTTTATTCACAGATTTGCGTCGCCGACAATACACGCGAGCGCGATTATCTCCAATTTCTGGTAGCTTTGCGAATCGCTAGATGTCTATTATTAAACTTGGCACTGTATCAAAGCCCCACTAAACTTGCGTATCACTGCAGCAATTGCAAAAGGTTGATCAGCCTTAGAGCCTCTCAATGTTGCATCGTGCGAATAAAATTCTCTCAAAAACGAAAGAAGTCACTTCAAGAATTTTCCCCAATTTGATCGAGTTTTTTTTCGCGGGAACGATCGCGAAATCGTCATGGAAGTCTCGTTCGCGAGGAGTTGATGTTTCAATGGCTTCTCCTGGCGCGTTAATCTCTCTCTAAATTCTCAGCGTTATCTTCGCTGAATGTGTGTTATCGAACTGAATAGATTAATTGCAATATATTATTATATATACTATTATATTAACTAAATAGATCGAATTGCAATATACTAATAAGCTCATAAAAAATTGTTATTTTGAAAGTCAACGAATGGGTAGTTTTCTTGGATATTATAGCTCTTATTTTGAATTCTCTTTCACTGAGAAAAGTGCCTCTAAATGACTTGTGATGGCCTTCTGATTGGCTTATAAGCACATTTATTAAGACTTTTATCGGTAAGAGAAAATTCCGAGTATAGGTCTATGTATTGCAATACGTAGTGACTAAGACCCATATTTTGAATTTTTTTTATCGCTAAAAATGCCTTTGAAAGTAGCTTATAAGTATTCTGATTGTCTATAAGTCTTTTAAATACGCTTTTAGCGGTAAAAGATAATTCAGAATATAAGAAAAAAAGCGTCGAATCGAGACTGTTATCGGAATACGCAAATGCTCGAGCATTCAATCGAAATCACGTTCGAATTTTGATGAGCGCATCAACTTAGTAACGTACCTATTCGCCATGTGCGAGACGTTGGACCGATCAGCCGCGAGACAGTGACGGGTGGTCGATGGCGCACGCCATATATCACTCGGCGAGCTGGACTCGAGAGACCTTCGCTTGGCTAGCACGCGAATTGACTCCACGCAGTCGTCGCCGTCGGCAGTTCGCGCGTGGCCCACTGACTGCGCTCTTTTTCGTAAGAACAAGTCCGCCGTCGGGTCGCGTGTGTCATCGTGATGACGGCTGCTGCTGCCAGACTGCTTCAGTATGGGTCGCACGTTCTCGATTTCGATCGCTCGGTTCTTCAGCGCGGACAGCTTCCTCGGCGAAGTCGACTCTGTCTCGTAACTGCCTTCCTCGTACGAATTCTTTCGCGAGGACTTCAGGATCGTTTTCTTCGGCCTGTCGTGCTCGTGCTCGTCCGACTCGGTGCTGGATTTCTTCTTCAGTATCGGCCGTGGCTCGAGAGACGAGACATCGTTGCCGGCAAGTTCCTCCCTGCCGTATTTTTTCTTCAATATCGGTCGTACTTCCGATCCCTCGGCACCGTCGGAAACCAGACACGTGCTCGCGCAACTGCTCGTATTCGCGCTCGCAACGTTCGATGCGATGGTCACATGATGATTGACGTTGTTAGCGCGTACGTTGTTCGCGAGCTTCCGTTTCAGAATACTCTGCGGTTCCGGGGAAGCCAATAACGACCGATGCACCTCCCGATCGTCTTCTCTGGATGACTTGCGCTTCAATATGGACGTTGGTTGCTGATCTGGACTCTGATCTCTCTTGACGATTTCATCCAGGGAAGATCGTCTTTGATTCTTCAGGATCGGCCGAAACTCCGAGTAAGTGCTGTCGACGAAAGAGACGTCAGGAGAACAACTACGGCGACGCAGTATTTCGTTCTCGTCCAGGCTGCTGCGTTTCTTCAGGATACCGTGCCTCTTGCGGGAAACAGACTCCGTCACGGACGGCGAGAACGTCACCGGTGACGACGTGTGAGGAGAACCGCTGGTTGTCGCTTGACGCTCGCATCCTTCGCCGTCCGTAGTTTTGTGTTTGAGAATCGAAACCGGCGTGTGCCTTGAGGCAGCGCACTTCCTCGGCGACATTAACGTCTTCTCCGCTGAATTGTTCGCAGAGCTCGCCGCCGCCGCCGCCGCTGTTGCGGACGCGAGTCTCTCCACGCGTTCCATCGTGATTCGCGTCAGCGCCGTCAACGCGTCCACTCTGCGCGATACCTCTGAATCGCTTATACTGTTGCTGCAAGAACGAGGGTCGATCGTTACATTGTTCATAGGGCCCTTTTCTGAATATAGCTTTCGCTGATTCAACATGAAGCGTGAGAACAGTATTTAGCGTCAAAATCTAAAATACGACAAATTTGCATATGGAAGAGATCACTTTTTAACTGTAAGCGTAAGTTCACTGCATCCAATTTTAGTACCTGGGCTGATGTGCATTCGAGCGCTTGGTACTCGCGGCGGATACAACGGAGGAGGAGGGGCAAGTTTTCGACACATTTTTCGCTGCGCCGTACTGTGCTACTTTCGAATCGTTGTGTTTTCTACGTGGACTCGCGACTTGACGATTACTGCAGGAGTCAGTGGGACTCGATGCAGTCTCCGACACTTGATTTCGTCTGACGGATTGCCTTCTGGAGCGCCTCTCGCTAGACTCAGCTGAAAATTGCATCGTGACATTAAGATATTGTGCTTTGGCGCATAGTTATCTTACGAACATTTCCGTTAAAAGCCAGTCGACATTAGAAGTAACTGTTTGTATATCGAACATAAACTCCTTACTTTCATTTAAACGATCAACAGGCGCTGTCTCCGTGTGACGTGACCTGTTTAAATAAGATTTGCGTTTGTAGCTCTTATCTCTCTCCTTGACGGGATTCATAGCGACGCCACCGTTTAAGGATGTGGAAGTTTCCTGTGCATATAGATATGCATTAGATTTTATATATACGTATGCGTCACAGTGCTCGATAGGAATAATATAGAAAACAAACGCGTACACACAGAAAAATACATATTGCATTCAAACAAATGTTACTTGTTTCAAGTATAAATTTGTAAGGAATATATTTTAAAACTATTATCAAGAAAATATATATTCTGTGTTGAAGATAATTGTTAAAAAAAAGTAAACTGAATTTTCTTGGCAGTAGAATAATATTTTTCTATGTTTGTTTGACAATCTGTCGAATTCGAATTTGCATTTTTTTTAATAACAGTTTGAAACTGTTTGATGTTAACTGAATTTTCCAAGTTAAATATTTTGGTTACTATCCATTGCGTCAAATTAAACATTCATAAAAATTTTCTAGGAATTGTTAAAAAAATAATCTCTTAAAGATTAATTTTTCAGTATATTGTAAGTCGCAAAATGAAGATTTTTTTTATTAAGTTTCAATTCTAATGTTTGCAAAGATAAAGTTAGACATAAGTAAGACATTGAAACTCAAAGATATATATTTCTACTTGCTAGTTGCAAATACTCACTTCTTTAACTAATGAATTGCACCTTGCAGAACCAGTAGTTTCTGATCCAAGTATTCTTTTCGACGCTAATGTTGCACCTGTGATTTGTAAAAAAGAAATAACCCATCTACATTAAAATAAATTATTTAATTATTTTACATGAAGTATCTATTATCGTGGGTAACAAGATTATGTGAGTGTGTGTGACAATATGTACAACAGAAAATTTAATAAAATAATTTTAATGAAAACATATTGCCAAGTAGGTGTGTCACACTTTATATAAAATAATTATAGGTGTAAAAGAAAGATATGCAACATCCAATAAAGATATAATTAATTAACATTAATATGTTAATCTATTCATAAAGAGAATATACTAGAAGTATACAGATATGGGTAAAATATATCATTAATAAATACAGGATTCACTCATGTATACAAAGCAAATATATTAAAAAAAAAAAATGTTTTATTTTAAATAGTGTTAAAAATTAAAATATTAATTATAGAAATCAAAGAAGCAGATCAAAACTAGTATAAATATAATTTGTAAATACCATTCTTTCTATATAATAGAATTTCTAACGAAAAATGTTATAATATAATATATTGGTATAAAATAACATATATAGCCACAATATGAAAAATTAAGACATTTGCTCACCACTGGGTAATACTATGGAAGCAGCCCGTAATCTAGAAGTTCTGGTCTCACGAATCTGAGCAGTCTTATGAACTGTCAAAGTTTTAGAGCTCTCTTTAGGCTCTACTTTGGATGTTATTTTACCATTCTTCTCTGTTGTAAGGCTACAATGCTTCTTTTCTGCTGTGATGAAAATATATTACATAATTTGATCTCTATCTTAATATTCTAAGGTTAAGTGCATAAAAGTGGACTGTGCATTTAAAATAAATAATTTTTATTTAAAGTGTTATAATTACTAATGACCTTGTAGTGTTATCATTATCTTATATCCTGTTATGATTACACTATTTTTTCAATCATTATCAAGTTAACATTCAACAATTTATATATACGTATAGTAGTAGTAGGTAGTTGCAAAGCATTAAAACAAAATATGTAAAGTAACATTGCATATCATTTGCATTTTAAAACAGAAAACTCAACATGTACCAACTAAATTCTTACAACTTACTAGTATTCGAGGAACAAGTTGCTACACCCCCTTTCGCTGACGATTCAATGTTTCTTTGAGCACAACGTTGTATACCGTAATGGGAACAAGAACCTTGGTTTACCGAATGTGTTGTACTATTTTCTGTCTCATTGGACGAATTCTCCTCACTAGCTGCCATCAAAATTGTGGCTCCGGCAGCTACCATCACTAAAAGTGTTACACAATTTATTAAATTATCTACAGTTACATAGCTACATATTTCTGGCAAGTACATTTAAATCTAGCTGCTATAATAATATCTAGAAGTAGTGAAATCCGTTAGTGATCTGCTCATTGGTTTCAAGGTAGGCAAGCTATATGACAATGAAACATATGTGTCACCGACATAAAAATTTTGGAGAGGGGGATAAAGAAATTGTTGCTTCTCATTGGAAACGTAAGTTCCTGGGCGTTTAAATACAGTACAACTGTGAATTCGGTATACTCACTTAATGCGAATTACTGCGAGTTTTCCAACGACGCGGCCATAGTTTCACTTTCGAAAAGTTTCAGACGAAATCGTCGGACAATCGGGGGACGTAGTCGACGATGCGTGATACTTACAGAGGACGTTATCACAGCTATTTAATAGGTACTATGTATAAAACACCGACGCAACTCGTGAAACGATCAGCCATGTAATCTGTATAACAAACTAACACAAGACATCAACAACATTTTACACAGGGAACGAAAATTAACGATTAAACAAAAGGAAACAATATCTCTGAACGAGCCATCATATCTTAACGAACTGATTGTGTCAATGGGCGCGTTCAGTGCAGAAAACTGTTGAGTTGTCGGCTCATGTACACTATACGTCATTGATACTTTTCGATTCCGGTAATCGGACATTTCCGCCCAACACGTGTCGTGTCTAGATACCCGTGCACCGTGACTGACTCATTCAAAGCCGTTATTTTTATCAATTAAATCAGTTAATTTAACATCATGTAACCTATTATTTATCTTTTACCCCTATATTTAACCTTTCTCACATATTTAAATTCGATCAACAAGCTGACAGATACATGAGCTCTCGAGTCACGATGTATGAATACCTAGACGTCATTCGTTCGATCTAAGGATACTTCGACAGTAATTGAGAAGTGTTATCATGAATGAATAATGAATGAAGTAAATTTTACGATGTACTCGGTGTCTGATAGGAGAATTTGTCCGATATTCATAGACGAATCTTAAGTCTGTTTTTTGTAGCTGCACTGCTGAACTGATGCAATATATTTAAGTGAGACAAATATACGTTTTCTCACTTTAACTTATTGCACTGCAGTTCAGCAGTGCAGCTACAAAGAACAGACCTAATGAGAAAATTTGTTCAGCATCCGAAGATAAATGATCTTAGGTATAACTGTGCACGTGCATTATTTAATGATCCGTCTACAATGAGAATAAATTATGGCTGTAAGAAGAAATTGACCAATCACAGTCGACTATTCTTCTCACATTCGATTGTGATTGGTCAATTTGTTACTTTTACTTATAGTCATACTTTACTTCCATTGTAAACGGTCCCTTAATCTTCTTTCAGATACTCAAACTAAAGCAATGCTCCGATTGGTTCTTCAACTTAAATATCCATTTATATTTACGGCAACGTTAATTCGTTGACGTGAGAGGGAAGCCAAATGTTCCGACTTCCGTCAACGGGCGCAACTAGCGCGGCGCGATGATTGGACTTTCGGCCGCCATTGGTAGCCATAGCAACCGCGAATTATGGCTGCTCGGTTAACAGTTTGCTGCTGAATGATAGCTACGCAAAAAGGTAATCAAATACGTGGCGTCCTGAGAAATTGTCTTTGCCTTTGGTTCCGTGAGTACAATCTCGACTTTCCTTTATAGCACACATAGCACATAGTGAGCGCGACAGTGACGGAAGATTCGAATAAGTTAAAGTTCACCCGCTCGCCGATAGTCATCTTACGACTTGATTTTGTTGTTGCGATCCGAACATCAAGCTCGCACGTTCAGGCTCGCTAGCGTGCGTTTCGTTCGTGTTACCTCGAATAATCGGGAATACGCTAATTCTCAAATCGCATACTCCTATTTCACGGTGAATTGCAACGTGGAAAATTTCGCGTCGTTCGCAGCAAGAGCTAACACGGTCGGAACCAGAAGGAAAATCAGCTGGGGAGGCAAAAATTGCGCTTGTAGAAATATACGAGCTGCATCGTAATCTTTGAATTCTCTGTATAGTTTCTCACGATGCGCAATTCTTCCAAAAATAACATCCCCTATCTGAAATCTTGCAAGAACGCGCGCGCGCTCGAATACACTTGGGATAGTTTTGCGCGAAACAGTCGGTCGGTGGTGGTGGAGGAGAAGAGCGCGATCAGTTCGAGAAAATCTATATTCTTGCATGTTTGACCTGCACGAAGATTGTTCGCGTGCGACCGTAAGAAAATGCTAATCGCGACTTGACATACATGTATATGTATACGTGTACATGTACATATATATTTGCATGCATACATAGACGGTGTTCCAGGTCGCGTTTACGAGCGTCCACTCGCTCCTCGCAGTCGCAGATTTTATAGTATTAACGTAATACGCAATCAAACGCTTCGGGAGATTCGCGCGATTCTCCAGGCAAGTTCAACGTATCGCGTACAACATACAATGCACGCACGTTGGCACACTCGTCTTAAATAACTCATCGATCGAAGCCGTGCGATAGCATTTGGCATTAAAATATCGCGAGTTCGCACCGGCCCCGCGTCGGAAGCGTGTCTTTGACGCTATAATGAATTAAGAGATTTGTTTTCTACTGACTGCACCAACTCGCACTGATTCTCTTCTCCCCCTCTTCCTTCCAAGGCCCATATTCTGAATTCTTTTTTTTGTTAAAAGCGTCTTTAAAAGTGGTTTATCAGCCCATCAGAAGGCTTATGAAACACTTTTAGAAGTATTTTTAGCGATAGAGGAGAGCTCAGGACATGGACCCGAAATCTCCAATTATATACTTGTCTTTTTATTTAATTCCGTAAGTGTATACTAGTTTAGCGATAAAAAACATACTTAAGTTAAATGCGGATTGTAAAGAAAATTGGCTTGCCATCCTGTCGGCGCTTTCGAATCTCATATTGGAGTGTCGCGTATAAAATATTCACTCCGCCGCTCTAGAGTCAATACTTCGCGCGACTTGCACCAGGTACTCGTTTATGCACCGTGACAAGGCTTTATTACATGCTTCATAAACCATGCTTACGTGCGTAGGTGTTTGAGCTTGTATCTAAGGACTTAAGTATCATATATGCTGTAAACACACGAACTCTCAAACGAACTTTTATTCAAACGTCTTTAGAAAAAGAAAGGAAAAGAAATTCAAATCTCTTTTCGGAATTACGAGGAAACCTCAAATTTGTGACTCGCACACTTTTCAAGCTCATAAACAGCTAAATATTTTAAGCAATTCGTTTTTTGCCTCGCGCTTGGTGGGGGAGTTAAAATAGGACACTCAGTACATATGTCGTGTGCTCTGTAATACGTTGCGCATAAAGTCAAAAAATGTTTCGATTCGTCTTGGAGTAAGTGTGGCCGTTTATCGCTCGCCTAACGGGGTTTCTTTAATTACAGCGAATGCGAAGAGCATGACACGCTGCCGATTTCGGTGGCGTGCGAGTGCGCGTTTGATATAATGTTCGTGGCTGTCACGTGAAGAAAAGCAGTACGAAAATTTCCGAGTGGTCGGACGTGTGGATGAAGGATGAATCGATACATAACGTTGAACCAGTTGGGCGACGGAACCTTCGGTTCCGTCGTCCTCGGGGAACGTATCGATACGGGCGAGAAGGTCGCTATAAAAAGAATGAAGAGAAAGTATTATTCCTGGGAAGAGGCTATGAATTTACGAGAAGTGAAGGTAATAAACTGATAGATGGATAAAAGAAACGGAGAAAGAAAAAGGCCGAGGAAAAATCTCATCATTGTATATTCTTGTCGAGAAAACAAGAATCGGTTTTAGCGAGCAGAAAGCTACTTCGCAATAAAATTTGTTATAAAATTCATGATTCTGATTGGTGTATGCTCTTAATCTTGGCTGAACTTAAGAGTACATATCAATCAGATTCACGGATTTCCCAACAGTTGCAAGGCAGCTTTCTCTGCTGAACGCAGCTAATTTCCCAAAAACTTTGACGCATTTGGCATTGCGCTAATTATCTTTTATTTTCTTATTATCTCTTTCGTTGCAGTCACTGAAGAAACTCAGTCACGCGAACGTTGTAAAGCTCAAAGAAGTTATACGGGAAAACGACGTACTGTACTTCGTTTTTGAATATATGAAAGAGAACCTCTATCAGTTAATGAAGGACAGGTATGTTTTCACCGACATTTGCATCGTAGAGATGTTACTCTTGGATTATCCTCATTATTACTCGAATCGCAGAGATAAATTATTTCCCGAGCCGGTGATACGGAACATGGTGTACCAAGTATTGCAAGGTCTCGCTTTTATGCACAAACACGGTTTCTTTCATCGTGACATGAAGCCGGAAAATTTGCTGTGTATGGGGCCCGAATTGGTGAAGATCGCCGATTTTGGATTGGCGAGAGAGATTCGCTCGAGACCTCCTTACACAGACTATGTATCGACTAGATGGTAATAATTCGAATGTCTAAAGAAATCAGTACGGTAGATTAATTTTTTGCTTTAAGACACTAAGAAAATTAGAGTTGAGAAGAATTAAAATTCTAAGAGCTGTCTCTTAGAATGTTTTTGTTTGTTTTTTTTTCGCGAAAGCACGAATTCTCACCGAATCAGTTTGATTTTATCCGTTGAATCTATTTTTATAGGTATCGTGCACCAGAAGTGTTGTTACACTCCACGACTTACAACAGTCCTATTGACATTTGGGCAGTCGGCTGCATAATGGCCGAGTTATACACGTTCAGACCGCTGTTCCCTGGCAAGAGCGAGATCGATGAAATATTTAAGATATGCTCCGTAATCGGGACACCCGACAAGGACGACTGGTCAGACGGATACCAATTAGCTTCGGCTATGAATTTCAAATTTCCAAATTTTACGCGCACATCGTTGGGCGTTTTGATTCCAAACGCCAGTCAAGAGGCGGTGATACTCATGGAGGATATGTTGCAGTGGAATCCCATAAAGAGACCGACTGCTCAGCAGTCTCTCAGGTATTTATATACTGTGAAAAAGCGTACATTTCAGAGATGACTCTAGGATACTTCTTGATGCATTTCTCGTGAAAAATCCCAAAAGATCTTTGAATGATTCTCAAAGTTGACTGTTGCGTGGCCTGATCTGTTTCCAGATATCCATATTTTCAAGTCGGCGATCCGCGTATAATTAACAGTAAAAAGATCGGCGTGACGTCGCAACGGGAACTCGCTATGAATAAAATCAATCTTCCACCAACCGTGTCGAAGCAGTACAATTATTCTCCGCAAGACCTCGTTAATAGTCTAGTTCAGTCGAGGTAAGTTTTGCGCAACCGTATACGCAGGCTGTTTCAGGATTATAGATAAAGACTTCGTCGCGTGGCTGTATATCTCTTAATTCCGTGACATTTTCAACTTGGCCTGCTTTGCGTATACGTTATCACTTCTACTCGATTTCAGTGCCATTTGGTGCGAATAAGTATTCATTATTTGTAGAGCCCCTGAGAAGATGGTCGTTCAGCCGCAACAACAGCCAGCGGCTTTGCCATTACTAAATCACAACAATCACAATAATCATGACAACGACAACGCGAAGTGGGAAGAGGACTTCGCCGAGCTTTTGGGGTACAATATTATTTTACGAGAGATTCTCTCGCGCATCCTCCGAAATTTCAATCTTTTGATCTTCTGATTGATCTTCTGATCCACCTCAGAAGCAAGGTCGTCCCGGAGAATCCAAACACAATGCTCGTGCCTGATCGGCTGTACAAGGAGAATCATGCCAATTGGAACGCCAACTATCAGCAGCCCGACAGTCTGAAGCACAGCAATGCGAATTGGTCGTTACCGATGTGGAAGGAACCGTCGTCGAGGATGTGGAACAATCAGTCGAATCAATCGAATCAGAAGAGCTCGCGCAAAGTTTCGGCGAAACAACACTACCTCAGTGTGGCTCGGTACGTCGCAGGCCAGAGCACAAATTTGTCGTCCAGGTATAGCAAGTTCCGAAATCTAGTACAAAGAATCCTGATCGCGTGCGTCCTATTGTCATTAGTCGTCCGTCTTCTGGCACGCTTTTGCATAGGACAGGATAGATCTGTCGGCGGATCGATAAATCCGCTCGAACTCACGTCACTTTACGTTAACGGGCGTTCTCGAGCCGAACGAATTTATAGCTCGCCAAACGCGATCCTCGACGGTTTCGCGTTTTGCACTTTGCTGAATATCGCGCACCTTCTGGTGGCTGTGCTATCGAGAATCACGTTTCCATTGCGTATCTTCTCCGACGTTTTGGATCTCGTTGGATCGTTGCTTCGTGGAATATCTTTTGACCTCGCGTGTCTCCCGTGTAAGACAGTCGTTCAAACGATGACAAATGCGCATTTTGACTACATCGAATGTCTCTGTGAATGAACTCTAAATTGTAAACTTAAAAGTGTAATAAATTGATGCGCGTTTCCACCAGTCTGTCGCCACGATCTCTCTTTATTGCATCTACCGTTTAACGCTTTTTTTCATTGATTTTTAAGAAACGGGGATTCCGATATCAATCGATCGAGACTGCTGTTGAATGGGCTCATCGGTCAGGGAGCCTCCAACAAATACGATGACTTTACAGAGTCCTTCTGGGCGCCTAGGGATATCGAGAATCAAACGAGACAACATTATCTCGCGCGAAATCGTTATATCGCCGAACAAAGCTTGAGGTTACCTTACTCCAGCGTGTATGGTACGCAAAGCATCAGTAAGTACTCACGCTACGGTACCGGTAACAGTCGCATTCTTGCTCCAAAAGTGAAACTCGCTCCACTAGACAAAAAAGAAACAAAGGAAGTGAAAAGAAGGAATAAAACCTGACAAACACGCTTGGCTTGACCTTGATACTTTCCCTGTTTAAAATAGTGGGTACAAAACGATAAGATTACATTCCATTCAGTTTGAATTCCAATGTGAATCAATAAGATGATGATATATTGAAAGTCAGATTCAATGTAAATTGATCATCATCTTATTGATTCACATTGATTCAGATTGAAATTCAGAATCTTATGTGTAATGTTATCGTTTTGTACCTGTTATTTTAAACAGAATTCACACAAAGAGACATGTTCCCTTTATATAAATGGGAAAAAACTACAAGGATTTTCGAACAGTAACACTTTTGGAAACAGGAAGAACGCGTTGTAGTCGCGCGTTGCGATTGGAGAAAGACAACAGTGTCGCGACTCGCAGATGTCTAATGCGAATTTTCTTCCCGGCAGAAGCCACCAATAAGCCGACGTTTCAACCAAACTTATTTGGAAACGTCTTCAACGCGAAAATCAGCGGCGGACCTCACGGCCGAACGGATTGGGCAGCGAAGTACCTTAAATGACCGTTGTAGGAAAAAGTCGTTCTTCTCATCACTACTTGACGATCCGTCATCTTGTGCCCGTTCTCTTAGGCGATTCTCTTGACTGTGATAGAACGATCACTGTCGTTCCACTTGGACATTGAAATGCGCAAAGGAAGAACACACGTTTTACTTCCGCGTTGCGGTTTTACGAAAGTAACGTCATACTTTAGATTAAAACAGGCAGCATGATATTTCGGGGCAAAACGGGACGTAGTATCGGGGTGTCGGACCCATCTACGAGTACTGTCGCAAATATATCACATCGCAGAATTCCATATAACTGCGATTTAGCCGAATATGTAGATTTCTCTAATTGTAAGCTCCTTATATTTAGTGAGAGAGAGAGAGAGAGAGAGAGAGAGAGAGAGAGAGAGAGAGAG